ATCAAAAGTGCAATAAGTGCACACGGATCGGCCATTTTGCAATTAAATGCAGAACTAACCTAAAACGACAGCGACCCTTTATTCAACATGATACAGGAAAACGTCAACGCAACGATGTACGTCTGGTAGAACGTTTGGTAGAAGAAGGGACTGAACGAAAACCTAAATCAAATTGTTTTAAAATCCAAAGCGATGATGAGGATGAGTTGATTCAATGTCGAGTTGGGGGGCGCGAACTGTCACTAGTAATTGACTCGGGATCTCGTTATAACCTAATAAGCCCAAAGGACTGGTCATACCTCCAGTTGGGTAACGCAACTGTATTCAACGTTCGGCCAAATTCATCGAATCAGTTCAGAGGATATGCTTCACGCGAATTGCTGCAAGTAATTTGTGTTTTCGAAGCGCCTATATCAATTAATCAGAATCCGGAGGTGTTTGCTTCATTTTTCGTAATAAAAAACCGGAACGCAATCACTACTCGGAAAGGACACAGCACCCAAACTAAAAGTTTTACGCCTCGGCCTCGAAGTCAAGCAAATAAATAAAGTAACGCCATTTCCAAAGTGGAAAGGATTACCAGTGAAGTTATCCATTAATCCAGACGTTAAACCAATTCAACAACCATTGAGGCGAATACCAATTGCACTGGAGGATAAAGTAACATCAAAATTGGAAGAAGCTCTGGCCCTTGATATCATTGAACGAGTAATAGGCCATTCTCCCTGGATATCACCCATGGTCAATGTTTTTAAAGAAAATGGCGACATCAGAATATGCATAGATATGAGACTGGCAAATAAAGCAATTTTGAGGGAGAATTACCCACTACCAGTATTTGACACTTTTATGACCAAATTGAAGGGCGCAAAATATTTCACACGACTAGACCTAATGAGTGCATATCACCAGTTAGAGTTAGATGAGACCAGCAGGAGCATAACCACTTTCATTACCCCACTCGGGCTATTCAGATACAAACGACTTATGTTTGGCGTTAACTCTGCACCTGAAATTTTTCAAAGAAGGCTTGAGGAACTTTTAGCGTCATGCAAGAATGTGATGAAATTCATCGACGATATCATTATTTTCGGAACAAGTGAGAAGGACCACGACGAAGCAGTCCAGAAAGTCAAAGAGGTATTAAGGGAAAATAATGTTATGTTGAACGAGGGAAAATGTGTTTGGAAAACACAAGAAGTCAAATTCTTAGGACATATATTGTCGCATAGAGGCATTAAAGTGGATCCTGAAAAGGTCCAAACGATCCTGTCATTCAGAAACCCCAAAAACAAGGAGGAGACCCGAAGTTTCTTAGGGCTTGTTACTTATGTTGGCAAATTTATTCCCGACCTGGCGAATTGCACGGAGCCGTTGAGACAACTGCTAAAAAAAGAGAGCAAATTCAATTGGGGCGAAATAGAAAACAAAGCTTTTGAAAATCTAAAACTACATTTGGCTAAAATACCCAGCTTATCATATTTCGACCCAAACAATAAGACACGTTTGATAGCAGATGCCAGCCCTATTGCTCTGGGAGCAGTACTAATTCAATTCACCAAAAATCATTTCATTTGCAAGTCGAAGCTTATCCGATGTAGAAAAACGGTACTCTCAGACTGAAAAAGAAAGTCTCGCTTTAGTATGGGCGGTTGAAAAGTTATATTTTTATTTAGCCGGACTAGAATTCGAATTGGTGGCTGATCACAAACCGTTAGAAACTATTTTTAAACCAACCTCAAAACCACCGGCACGAATTGAACGTTGGCTTTTACGCTTGCAAGCGTTCAAGTTTAAAGTGATTTATAAAACAGGCAAGGAAAATATTTCAGACAGCGTATCTCGATTATGCGAATTACCAGAAACAAATTCCAGCTGGAAAATAACGGAAAGCAACATATTTCAAGTTATTGAATATACCGTCCCTACGTCATTAAACATTTCGGAAATAGCACGGGAGAGCGGGGTTGATGAGGAAATTGTCTACGCGATGACCTGTTTGGATGCCAACTCGTGGGATAGCGCGTTATCCAACAGTTTTTATCCATTTCGGTACGAAATATCGATGTTAGGAAAGATCCTGTTACGAGGAGCACGACTGATTATCCCGAAAAGCCTGCGGAAAAGAGTTCTAGAACTAGCTCACGAAGGGCACCCTGGTGAGTCGGCCATGAAGCGTCGATTAAGAGTAAAAATCTTGTGGCCACGCATCGATCGAGATGTGGAAAATTTTGTAAAGGCATGCAAGGATTGTATGCTAGTGTCTCAACCATCAAGGCCGGCCCCCATGCAGAGAACTGTTTTTCCAACAAGCCCGTGGAGCTCTATAGCGAGCGACCTTCTAGGCCCACTCCCAAACGGCAAATACGTCCTCGTGTTTATCGATTATTATTCCAGATATATGGAAATAAAATTTTTGCAGTCCATAGCATCGGAGGCAATTATAGGGGCCATGAAGGAAATATTTTGTCGATTGGGTTTCCCGAGATACTTATGAACGGATAACGGAAGACAATCAGGCCTGCTCCGGTAACCGAAAACGGCAAGAATTTTTCGTTTTCGTTTTTGAAAACGAGAAATTGGTGCTCCGGTAATCGAAATCGAAAGATTTGTTCGATTTGAAAAACGGGCACTTTTTTCTGGCCGGAATGAAAAGTAAATGGCTTTTTTTATATGAAATCAGATCTTATTTACAAAAGGAAAAAAATAGTTTACTCAGTGGTCTATTGATGTTTATTCCACACCACCTCAAGATCATTCTGGCAGGTAGTTATTTTATAAAAAATTTATTTCTGACCCCACCTCAGATTTGACAACAAAAGTTTTGCCGTGTTCAACCAGTTTTCTCGTTTTGGCGATAGGTTCACCTCAAAAAGTTATCGCCAAGGTTGCCATATTGTTGGTGGAACGAAACAGCCAGTTAAAAATACTTATAAAATATAAATGAATACATTAATAACTTTAAAGGACCGCCAAAATGGTTGTTTATAAATAATGCTATTTAATGTGATTACTTAAATGGAGCAAATTAACCAAATAATTATATAATAATAATTATCACATTAAATAATTATATAGTAATAATTATTATATAATTAAAACTGTGAAAAGTGTGGCAGCATCTTAGGTGCATAGATTTGCTTAAATCTACCATTTTTGCCTTTTTCTGGCTTAGAAAAAGGGCAATTGTAAATATAAAAGGCAGTACTTTACGTTGTTTGCTTATTACCAAAAACACAAGTTAGCTGCTTGAGCAGTGAGAAACGATGAGAAAACGAAACATTCCGATAGCAGAAATTTGCCGAAAACCGGAGCAGCCAAAAACGAAAACAAACGATTTCGCCCAAAACGAAAACGAAAAAATTTTACGATTAATAGGGTCTTCCCACACTCCGTCAAAGCGCATCTACCGTCCGTTGAACAAACGGTCCATAAGGTTTTGCCGTTCCGAATTTTCTCAATTGGCCCTGCATCAAAGCGCATCTAAATGTAACGACCGTTTGTTTGGCGATAGTTAGGCGATAGTTTTTAGGTGCAACTCTGAAAATTTGACCAACACTACGAAAGTGTATACACACTTGGCGAGAAACAAATGAGAATTGGAATTTTAAATGTGGCGCCAAAGCTACAAGCATGCCCAAAATAGTTGTTGGCGTTTTTTCTGTATATTCTCGCCCCAATATGTCCCCAATTGTTACTATTTAATATAAACCGCCTGCCTCTACCTTTTTTTGAAGATTTTGGATGTCTATACCACCTATAGACACTCTTCGGGGAATTTGCTCTTTGTTAGAGAAAAATCATTAGAAAAACTAAAATTCCTTGTCATTTAATTCATTTAAATTTAGTGCGGATAAATTCTGACGCAATCTGTGCCTTTTCCTGTTGTACAACAGCCAAAATAGTTGGTAAATGCTCCATTTCAAATTTGCAACTGCCAATTCGACAGTCTTTGTTTACGTTTTCATGAGCCACAGCTGATCGATCAGCTGTTCGGATGCCAGATGCGCTTTGACGGTGTGTGGGAACACGAGTTTCGCATCTGCGAAAAATCCCAAACGTTCCTGACAGATGCGCTGTGTGGGAAGACCGTATAACGGAGCAGGCCTGAGTATAACGCAACTCTGTGGGAACACGAGTTCCACAAATGCGCTGAGTGGGAAAAAGAGTTAAGGATAACAAACTTATATGATAGGGTCTTCCCACACAACATTAAAGCGCATTTAGCATCCGGTGAACAAATGCTCCATAAGGTTTTGCCGTTCCGAATTTTCCCAAATGGGGCGGCGTTAGTTCAGCATTAAAATCTAACCACGGTTTGTTTGGCGATAGTTAGGCGATAGTTCTTCGGTGCAACTCTGATTCTTCTTCTTAATTTGACCATTCACCACGAAAATGTAAACAAATTGGCGTGGAACAAATGAGATATGGAATTTAAAACGTGGCGACAAAGCTACAAGCATGCCCAAAATAGATGTTGGCGTTTTTTCTGTATATTCTTGCCCCTATATGTCCCCAATTGTTACTATTTAATATAAACCGCCTACCTCTACCTTATTTTAAAGATTTTGGATGCCTATACCATCTATAGACACTATTCGGGGAATTTGCTCTTTGTTAGAGAAAAATCATTAGAAAAACTAAAATTCCTTGTCATTTAATTCATTTAAATTTATTGCGGATAAATTCTGACGCAATCTGCCAATTCGACAGCCTTTGTTTACGTTTTCATGAGCCACAGCTGATCGATCAGCTGTTCGGATGCTAAATGCGCTTTAATGTTGTGTGGGAACACGAGTTTCACATTTGTGAAAAATTTTTTAAAAATGAAATGAGTTCGATTAAAATTGTATGACTTAAACAATTTCTTAGTTCTGTAATTTTTTTCCGTCAATTATTGGTGGTAGAAACTGAGGAAAATTCAGTGGAATTTAGTGGGTCTAGTGGGAAAAGGTCATTAAAACTTCCTTTTCGTGTTTCTTTCCATTCATTTTAAATGTCTTGTTGCTGACTTGATAAAAAGAACAAGAATATAATAATAGTTTAAATGTATATGTGTTCCGATACACCTTTTTAAAACATTTTGTATTGTTTGTGATAGTAACAATGCCTATACTGAAGAAATTAGTTTCTAATAATTTTGCAAAACATGCTGATCCTTCACCAACTTCAGATTTGATTCCGCCTGTAGAGCAATCTGTAACTGCCGTACAAACTAGTATCACAAATATGCTTGAATTTCCCTATTTGAGGACAAGAACAGCTTACACGAACAAATTGACACAGATCCCAACATCTTCTGACGTAAAGAAAATTAAAAAACGGCGCAGCAGCGATACCTCTAGTGATGAAGAACGCTGGCTGCATGCCATAGAAACAGGAAAACTAGAAGATGTCGATAACGAATTAAAGAAAATTAAGAATCCAAAATTAATGACGGCTCGTCAACGTGCTATGTATGAACGAACACAAGATCAAAATAATGGATTTACTGTAGAGCTTATTGCACTTCCAAACGGATATAAGGAAAAGGAAAAGCCCCAAACGGCGGAGGAAATCAACAAGGCTGTCCTTAAATCTCAAAAGCGGAAGCAGCAAGCGGACGAGCGACGGGAAAAGGATAAGCTAAAAACAATGGAGCGCTTATTAAAGAAACAAGAATCCCATAAACAGCGCGTTCGTAGTAAACAATCACTGAAGCCATCATATCCAAAAATTACATACATAAATAGTATTGAAAGAAGCATTATATTAGTACCACAAGGCTTCGAGTTTCCACTGAAAGCACAATTACCCCGGACTACGCCTTCTGCAGAGTTGTGCTGTATTAGCGGTTGTGGAAATCGCAAGGCATATAATTGTTCCATAACAAAGAATCCGCTATGTAGTCTTGCGTGTTATAAAAAGAACCGGCAATATTAGAAAAATAAAAATAAGTAAGCTGTACTTAAAAAAGTATCGAAAATAAAGTTTATAATGAATTTAATTCCGATTTACATCTTTAAAAAAGTTATAATTAATAATTAAAATAGTAATAATAGGAAATTTTTGCGCAGTATCTTCTCTGGAGGCTCAGTTCAATCCACGTGGGCAATTGCATCTACAAAAAAATAATAATTAATCAAGGGAAAAAAATAATTCAATTAAATAGAATTTATCCAAAAGGCCTCGTTTCAATATGTTGGCCATTACTGCAGTCTGAAAAGAAAAAAATAATATAATATACATATACATATATAATAAATAAAATAATACACATAGGCTTTTATTTAATTAAAAACAATCACTTTACTCACCTTTTTATACCCTTGCAGGGTATTATAATTTCAGTCAAGTTTGCAACGCAGTGAAGGAGACCTTTCCGACCCTATAAAGTATATACCATATATTCTTGATCAGCATCAACAGCCGAGTCGATCTAGCCATGTCCGTCTGTCCGTCTATCTGTTTCTACGCAAACTAGTCCCTCAGTTTTAAAGCTATCTGAATGAAACTTTCCATATGGTCTTCTATATACTGTCACTGCTATATATGTCGGAACGGGCCGGATCGGACGACTATATCATATAGCTACCATACAAATGGTCGATAAATTTTTAGAAAAAAATTATAACTTCGCCGTTTTTCAACATTTTTGCACCATTTTTTAGATATGACCATTTTATATTACTTCAAAATTTCGATAAAAATTTCATGAAAATCGGACGAGACTATATCTTATAGCTGCCATAGGAACGATCGGGAAATTAATAGGAAAAAATTATAACTTCGATATTTTTCAACGTATTTTCATCAACTCCGAGATATAAGCTTATTTTATTATTCTAAAATTTTGGTATAAATTTCATGAAAATCGGACAACTATATCCTATAGCTGCCATAGGAGCGATCGGTAGATGTATAGAAAATGTAAAGGTGTGAATGTTAACTGTCAAACTGTAAACATAATAATTAAAGGTAAAATGTAATGAAATAATATCTGCAAGGGTATACAAACTTCGGCGTGCCGAAGTTAGCTTCCTTCCTTGTTTATATATGTATTCCAATAAGGCCTGGAACGAATTTATTTAATAATTGTATTTATTAATTAAGGGACCCTTAATGAAACACACGACACGTCTGTAGTGCAGAGCACTTCAACTTCTAATGCAAAGGAAATAAGAAGAAGCAAGACGAAACCGAAAACCGCTGCTCTGAAAATATGGAGTTGAAGCTTCGAAAATCTACTTTAATTGCGTCTCCTACTTTGTTTCGGACTTCAAAAAACGAAGCCCATGTAAATTGTTTTTTTTTTTTTGTGCATGCACCGACAAATCGGACTCGAAGGGAGTTCGGGTTCAAGTAGCAGTCGGCAAAGCGTCGATTCTGTCGGCGCACTCGAACAATTAGCGTTGCAAAAATCGAAAAAGTCATGTTCGCAAAAACGATTTTAACCATACTTATTCGACAGGAAATTTAACAAGGATTCAGAATCTGCAATAAAATCAATTTTAAGATTTTTTTGTAGAAGTTATGAGCATTTAAAGTTGAACTTTGTTTCGTTTTTTGCATCATACAAAAAAAAAATGTGTAAATTGGTCGACTTTCAGGTAATATTACAAAAAAACCATAAAACCAATGGTCATGGTTTTAACTTTAAATGATAGATACATTCATAAACTATTAAAGAACCTAAAAAAAACGACACTTTGGTTTGGGCTTCTACAGGTAAATCGCTACCTGCCAGGTGTCCATTTTTTTCACCTTTTTCTGCCTAAAGTAGTCTATATCTTTTGACGCCAATGCCGGCCACTGACTACACTATGACTACAAGTTCCGTGGATCTTTCCTGGATCAGAATTAACTTTCATCGGCTGCGTCGAGCTGCGTCTGCGGAAATGCAACGCAAAAAACCAAAACAACTCAGGGTAAAATATACCAAAATACCGACACAATTTCATACATTTCAAGAAATATACTAACTGTGGCGCGTGGCGGTTACACTTCAAATTAAAAAAAAATATTTTTTTTCAGTTTTCAAATTATTTTTATTTGAGCAAACACATAAAAATAAACATAAAAAATTAAATAAAAATTTTTGTTTAAAAATTGTTTTCATTGAAAAAAAATTATTTTTTCACTTTGATACCCTTTAAAAAGGCGTATTTGTGGGCGTGGTACTTTATGCAGTACATATATATATTTAACAACAATTACTTGTCCAATGCCGTTTAAATTATTCGATTACCTTATTTGGTTCAAAAGATATGATTTTTGCAACGCTAAATGAGAAAAGGCGCTACTGTGCGGCGTCGCAGTCGGCGCGTTGATGAATTGTTGATGAAAAAGCCTATTGATGAAATATATATATACTATATATAGTTCCATATGTATTTACATATATGTATGTATGTAATTATCATTGCAATTGAAACTTGTATGTACATATGTACTAGGGTTGTCGAAATATTTAAAAATATCGTATCGATGATTTTTTTTTTTTTTTTTATATATCAAAATGATATTTGATATATCAAAAAAAAAATATCGATTTATCAAATATTTTTGATATTTTTGTTTTATTATTATTTTTTTTTTAATTTCAATAACCACTAAACATTAACTCACATACGATCTTAAATTATATTTTTAGATTTTTATTTTATATTTATTACTAAATGAAAGAAAACTATATTTATTTTTACTTTCTTTTGCTTTTATTTATATTAAAATCAAATCAGAACAAAAATTTATCTTATATGAAAGATAATAAAAACATGCTTAAATAATAATAAAGCAAACGTTTTCATTATACCCTTGCAGGGTATTATAATTTCAGTCAGAAGTTTTCCAACGCAAGAAAGGAGACCTTTCCGACCCTATAAAGTATATATATTCTTGATCAGCATCAACAGCCGAGTCGATCGAGCAATGTCCGTCTGTCCGTCCGTCTGTCCGTCCGTCTGTCCGTTTCTACGCAAACTAGTCCCTCAGTTTAAAAGCTATCTGAATGAAACTCATAAAGTCTTCTATATACTTCTATATACGCATAAAGTCTTCTATATACTCGAAACGGGCCGGATCGGACGACTATATCATATAGCTGCCATACAAATGTTCGATAAATTTTTAGAAAAAAAATTCTAACCTGACTGTTTTTCAACATTTTTGCATCATTTTTTAAATATGTCCATTTTATAATATTTCAGAATTTTGGTATGTTTTATGAAAACAACTTCGTTGTTTTTCAACGTTTTTTCATCTACTCTGAGATATAGGCTTATTTTATTATTTCAGAATTTTGGTATACATTTTATGAAAATCGGACAACTGCCATATATCTGCCATAGAAACGATCAGTAGACGTAGAGAAAATGTAAAGCTGGGAATGCAAAACTGTAACTGTCAAACAGTAAACATAATAAGTGTAGGTAAAATGTAATGAACTATACAAACTTCGGCGTGCCGAAGTTAGCTTCCTTTCTTGTTTTAGGTTCAGTTTCATTTTTTCCGCCGAACTAAGGCTTTAACAGTATCTTATATGAAAGATAACAAAAACATGTTTTCTTTCCTTGTCCCGATAAAAAGTGTAACCGCCTTAAACATCAAAAAATATCTCAAAAAAATATCGATAAAATATGATAATTTTTCAAAAAAAATATCACGATAAAAATATTTATTTTTTCGCAAAAAATATCGATATATTGATATTTTGATATATTTTCGACATCCCTATTATAAATGTGCTCAAAAAGTATCAAAAATTTGCGAAATGGATCGGTTCCTTCTGTTTTTATTCAAGATTAACAATCTTATTATTCAATAACATACAAAAAAATAACATATTTCAAGGAAAACTCTTAATTTACGAACTAAAACATAATTATTCCATTATTTGACGCTCAACGTATAATCGGACAATCCCAAGATGAACACAAAAAATCGATATTTTACCTGGAATTCGCTGAAAGCTTTGTGTTTTTTGCATTGCGTTTGTTTAATAATAGAGATTAGGAGCAGAAAACATAATTTTGCTATTAAAAAGTGGAAAATGGCTCCAAATGGAGAGCAATCCTCTGTGGAACTTCTTCAGTTGGATGTTAAGCTAAATTTTGAAGGAAAAACAGTGAGAGAAATCTCAGAATTAGTTGGGAAAAGCAAATCTACCGTCCACGACATTATTGAGAGGTTCCGTGATGAATTTAGATTTGCCAATAAAAGCAGGGAAGGCCAAAACAAAATCTTAAATGACCGAGAAGAGCGGTCGGTTTTAAAAGAAGTTAAACAAGATCCCTTCAAAACGCTAAAGAACTTAATATTTGTTTACAAAACCGAACTGGTAAAGATGTTTGTCTCAATACTGTGCGTAATACTTTACATAAATTTGATTACTTCGGACGAGTTGCGAGGAAGAAGCCCTTTATTAGCCCCAAGAACAAACAAAAACGCATTAAATATGCAAAAGAATATTTGATGAAAACAGAGGATTTTTGGAAGACGGTAATATAATAGTTAATGAGCTCAGAAAAAGTTGTTGTTAATTTTAATTAATTAATTAAAGGTTCTATTTACTGATGAGAGTAAATTTAATTTACATGGATCCAATAAAAAGAAGTTTGTTTGGCGTAAACCAAATACCGAATTTAAACCCAAAAACACAAAGGCCACAGGAAAGCATGGAGGAGGTTCTGTGATGGTTTGGGGCTGCATGTCCAGTGCTGGAGTGGGCCAATTGCATTTTATAGATGGCATTATGGATAAGTTTGGTTACCTAAATGTTTTAAAAGAAAATGTAAAGCAAAGTGCTCAGAAATTGGGTATCGCAAACAACTTTGCTTTTTACCAGGACAGCGATCCTAAGCACACATCGAGTGTTGCAAAGCTTTAGTTGATCCATAATTGTCCCAAAGTTGTCGAAACGCCAGCGCAAAGCCCCAACCTTAACGTAGTTGAACAGCTCTGGGAAGAATTGGCTAGAAGAGTGTACCAGGAGAAATTTAAAACTATAAATGGCCTCAAGGAAGCTTTGTTGGAAGCATGGAACTGCATTGAGCCGGAAGTGTGCGAAAAATTGGGTGAAATCCATTCCTAGGCGCTTGCAAGCTGTTCTAGAGAACAAAGGACTCGCAACCAAATATTAAATGTTTAGCAGTGCAAAGTGTAGAGTTCAAGTCCGACTCGGAACATTTAGATTTGTCAATAAAATTTTCTGAAATATGCTCAACCAGTACAGAACTCTTCCCGGCGTTTGTTTCCCCATGCCATATTGCAAAAAGTGCTAGTTTGCAGACCCACATGCCGAATTCGGCCCCCTACCCGAGATTTTCTTCTCCTACATATCTTCGTTCACAGTATGTTTCCCGCGGCCTCAATATTTTCTGTGAAACAGTTTCTTCAACTTCAAAAAAATACAATCCACTCCGCGACGCTCTACTGTATGCCAATATATGAATATATTTTCTGCCTCTAAAATTCTTGTACGCCCTCACAACTCTAGTCCAGTTGTCGGGTTTCCACTGTACAAAATATATGTTCTGCCTCCAAAACAGAATTAAAAACTGTATCATCAAATAATAAAATTTAAAAAATTCAAAATACAAATAAACAACATTTGAAAAATCTAACTTCGAACCGCAGCGGCCTAGTTGTTGTTTTTGTCCGTTGTTGTTTTCTCTTGGGCCGCTGCTCTTACCCAGCAGGCAAAGAGCGGTCTCGGTGCGGATGGATCCGAGAAATGTCCGCTAAAAATATTAAATGCGAACAAAGAATCGGAGTTTCCGCATTAGGTTCGGGGAATGCTCAAAAACGGACGCGCAAACGGACGAAAAGCAAACCGTGTGGCGTTGCTCGTGAATATGCCGAAAACGTATTGCTAACGGACACTGAAACGTACAGTGGGCGGCCAAATAGCGGACTTACCGCAATAGGTTTGCCTAATTGTCGAAACCTGAGCCGAAAACGGATACTGAAACGGGCGAACACTGGGACCCGTGCAAATGCCGCAAATGTCCCGCTAACGGACACTAAAACGCACTGCACGCGTTAAAAATCTTGTCGTCAACGAAATTTCTAGAACTCGATGAACGGTTCTCCTCCTTCCTTCTTTTGTCGCTTGCCTGTTTTTTGTTATTTCGCTGCAAATGAGCGAGAGGCAATATTATTGCATCATCTTTTAACTCTTTTGGTTTGTGGAATTTTTCCCGTTGCGACTCTTTTCCTTTTGACCGGCGAGTTGTGCGGACGTGAGTGAAAAGTTTTTTACAAGACGCACGTGTTTTCAACGGTAAGTGTTAAATTTAAATTGATTAATATGTACAATCTCATACTAATGAACTAATATTGACTATATTTATATTTATTTATGCTGGCGAGACTTAATTTCCGACGAAGTGGCGCGCCAATGGTCCTGGTTTGGGACAGAGTCCAAAATGTCCATTCGAGAGATGCTTATTACGTCATCCGTCAAAGGTATGTATATTTTTCGTATGTTTTTTAATACTTATGTATATACTTATAATAATTTATATTTTTACAGCTGCTTTATGAACAAATTTGCGTTGGAGGGCGCAGATTTCGATAGAGTGACACAAAAGCAGAATGCACAGGACGGTTTGTATTAGTATTATTAGTTGTAAGTTTTACAAATCTTAAGTATAATGTTTATTTTTTAAGTTAAATAATGATAAGTAATAAATAATGATAAACTAAAAATAAATGTATGTTTTATTTACATTTAAAAAAACCCGAAATTCTAAAAAAATTTAGTTGGAAATAGATATTAAAAATGTATCTGAAACGCATCGTCAAAAGGTCCGCAAACAGTACTTCCTGCGGTATTGCCACAGGTCAGCAAACGATCCTTTTTCGGGTATCGTGAAGGGGTTGCTATCGGTACTGTTTCCGGTCTCGCCACAGCGTCCGCAAACGCTATTAGTTCGTGCTCCGAAAATGAGAGGTTTTGCTGCCACAAACCCCAGGACAAGTAAATTACTTTGCTACCGTTCTTGAGCCTAAAATCGGACGTTTTGTCCGCCTGCGGTCCGCAAAACTTCAGTTTTTAATATTTTTTACGGAGTTTTTGTCTGCTGGGTACAGACATACATACATACAAACGGCATAACCCAGTGAACTTTTCCGTTCGAGACAAAAACCAAGGGTTTTAATTCCGCCTTTCCGGGACGATCTTCACAAAGATTTACTCTGCAGAAGCTTAAACATGCTTCAAAAAGGAGGCTACAAACATTGATGGTTTTGAACATAAATTACAAATACTACATTAACTCACAGGTCACAAAACATTAATTTTCTTTCACTAAATACCTTGAGCTTTCACCGTCATCCAGGCATGTACACAATATATAAGAGGTCACACAAAATTGTGTATAATAAATGAATAAAAATAAGTTAATTCAAACGAAGTGACGAAATAAGCTGCGGCTTGAAAAAAGCCCTCAAATTTGTTTTTGTTTGATTACTGAACTATTTTTATAGTTAGGAAGATTGTCTTCGATCAGTACAAATGTTTATGAATTAGCGACAATCGTTTAGCCACAGTGACGTTTTAAATTTTCGTTTCTTGACTGCATGAAATAAGCTTCAAACCACTGTACCCAAATCAAACTGACATTATTAGCCGATATATATTTTTCATGTTCTTTTGAGTAACTAATGGCAAAGCAGATCAACACTTTTTTGTAGCACAAATAAACTACTTAATATCAAGCCATCAAGCCGGCAATATAGAAGTTTCTCAACCACCTTAATCAAAGTTTTTTAAGACATAAGATAAAATATAGATAAAAGTAACAAGAGTGTTGTTACTTATACTTCTTGACTTTAGTATTGCATTTGACACTAAAATCATCAAATTCTTTTGACTGAGTTGAGGTTACTTTATAATTTTTCTGACGCCGCCCCAAAACTTTTGAAATCTGTAAAGCAGCAAAAAGTAATCAGAAAAAAATATGCAAAGATCGAGTGATGTGCTAATACTAATGCACCTATGTTACATTGACATGTTAGAAAATGAGAAGGTATTAGCGGGCTAAGGCTGTGATCGCTGGGCGCACAAAGAACGAGAATTCAGAAGTCCTTCAGTCTGTATTAGCAGGGTCGAATATTCCTCGAATGTTAGTGCACTGCTGCAAACAACTCGTTTTAGGTGCAGCTTTATAGATCGCACACCAGTCTCCCAAATTGTTCTAAAATGGGGTGCAGAGGGCGTGATGAAATGCCAATTAATTTTGTGACTCTATAAGAAATTCGAAATCTCTTCGTTTTGACTTTGGGAAATTGCGATCCGTTGCTTTTCCGCTAAGTCTCTATTAGTTCAATGAAAACTTGTGCCATTGTCGAATATAAATCAAAGATGGGCCCACGTTGGGACCAGAAGAGTTAAAAGGCAGCGATAAATGCGGATGTTTTCAAATCACTGACCAGTTCAAGGTGTATCGCTTTTGTAGATAGAAAAACGAAGATGGCAAACCAAGCCTTTCCAAACTAGGGCGTCCGACCTGTAGATATTTTGATATGTACAAATCCAGCATAATCCAAACCAGTGTAAAGAACACAGCGGGCAGATTGAACTCGAAAATCGGGTAAATTGGCCACCTGTTGAGAGGTCGGGTGTCTTCGCTGCAAAAAGTTTGTTTTGCAATTAAATACAGTTTTGCCGACTAGGTTTCTAGCTCCTAGAATCCAATATCTTTGCGTTAACTATGAAACGTGTATTCGACACCAGCGTGTAGGCAACGCAGTGTTGATATCGAATGAGTGATGCAGCTATTGAAGATTCCTTAGGCATGATTATGGGGTGTTTGGCGTCATAATTGAATTGTCTATGCGACCAGCAACACGCAATATTATCTGCTCGTCTAAGAAGGGCGTGTAGCGGATTAACTTCGACTTCTTTGATAATAATTTTCGGGTGTTTAACTGAATGTATTCCACTCTGAAGAACTCTTTCTGGACGTGCGTAAATATCCTAACTCGTGCATATTGTAGCTTCCACGCCGACAGAAACGGTGGAAGTGGATTCCTCTCATTCACAGCAGCTGAGTATCCTCTGTAAACGAGACCATGAAAAGATTTTGTTGATCATACAGCAGCGAACTCACCACTCCGCGGTCCCTGCAGCCCTTTCCATGTAAATCTAAGTTAGTCTTAAGGGGGGACATCTGAGTAACTGGCCAAAAAAAAGCTTCGCGCTATTCTGCGCCTAGCAAAATTACATATTAAATACATACAGTGGATCGCAGCTTATTTCGTGCAGTCAAGAAACGAAAATTTAAAACGTCCCTGTGGCTAAACGATTGAAGATAATCCAAATATTTAAACGCAGTACTTTTAGTCCTTGTACTAACATTTATACTGAACAAGGACAATCTTCCTAATTATAAAAACGATTTAGTTATTAAATAAAAACAAATTTGAGGGCTTTTTTCATGCCGCAGCTTATTTCGTGCACTTCGTTTGATTCAACTTATGTTTATACCCTTGCAGGGTATTATAATTTCAGTCAGAAGTTTGGAACGCAGTGAAGGATACGTTTCCGACCCTATAAAGTATATATATTCTTGATCAGCATCAACAGCCGAGTCGATCTAGCCATGTCCGTATGTCCGTCTGTCTGTCCGTCCGTCTGTCCGTCTGTCTGTTTCTACGCAAACTAGTCCCTCAGTTTTAAAGCTATCTGAACGAAACTTTGCATATAGTCTTCTATATGCTCTCACTGCTATATATGTCGGAATTTTTGCATAATTTTTTAGATATGGCTATTTTATATTATTTCTGAATTTTGGTAAAAATTTTATGAAAATCGGACGACTATATCATATAGCTGCCATAGGAACGATCGGGAAATTAATAAGAATAAAATTATAGCTTCGTTGTTTTTCAACGTATTTTTATCTACTCTGAGATATACGTTTTTTTTATTATTCTTAAATTTTGGTATAAGTTTCATAAAAATCGGACAACTATATCTTATAGCAAATGTATAAAATATGTAAAGCTGGGAATGTAAAACTGTAACTGTCAAACTGTAAACATAATAAGTATAGCTAAAATGTAATGAAATTCTGTTTTGTGAGTGTTTTCAGCATTTAAATCTATAATATAAACATCAAAACCAATCTGCAAGGGTATACAAACTTCGGCGTGCCGAAGTTAGCTTCCTTTCTTGTTATTAATTTAATATAAACAATTTTATGTGACCTCCTATCTTATTCTGAATACCTTTAAGATGATGTTTCAATTGAATTAACTAGTTTTTTTTTAGGTTTCTAGATTAATTTTAATCAATTCCTCTAAGGCACTACTGTTTTGATAATTTTGGTCAAAAATTTTAATTTCCAATATTTGCTACAAATTTTAAATAATGATTATGTCTGGGTGACATTGATGTTGTTATTTTGTCTTTAGGACCGTTTTGTGTGAGCTAAAGCTTCCGAAAGTCCGATAAGTAGTAGGGACCGCTGCACTAATAGTTTTGCAAACTATCCCGTGTGACCACGTTTTTTCCACGTTTTAACATTTTATATTGAAGAGAACATATTGGTTTCCAAGATCCTGCCAAAAAAAAAATTCGTTTCCTACTCTACAGGAAGCCATTTAGGCCCAAATAAGACACGATCGCCGCCTTGCTTCAGAGTAGCTTGCAAGTGTTTGGTTTTTTAGCTCAATATTGGGCCTCCGCCAATAATTTTGACTGTCATCAGGATTAAATTAGTTAAACTTTTACTCGTTGGTAAAGATAAAAACATTCCAAAAGAAAATCGGCCAAATTATAAGCTCCTATGAAAAATTTTGACGTTGCTACTGTGCTGGTTTCCCCTTCAGTTCCGTTCCTCAACGATTCCCCTACGATTCCTCACGGAACCGAAATAAATCCCTGACGAATCGTCAGGGAACGTTCATAAAAAACTTCGAGGAATTTCCATACAAAAGGTGATCCCAGCCACGAATTCGAAATTCGCCAAGAATCCGCCAGGAATCGCCAGGGAAAGTCACCGGGAATTTCGAAAGATAATCGTGCACGATTCGTCAAGGAATCGCTGGGGGAACCGTCGAAGAATCTTGCGGGAATCGCTAGAGGAATCGTCGAGGAATCCCGAGAAAATCATTGCGGAATCCCGCGGGATTCGCTAGCGGAATCCGCCAGGAATCCCAGATGAAAATCTATAGAAAATCCTGAAAATTCCCCCCCCTTCCTAGTAAAAATCCGATGTAATTTATTCCTTATTTATTTATGGATTGCATGTTTTTATTTATCTTCACTTTTTTGGTAGCATTAAATTGTTCTCCAAAATTAAACATGTATACATATGTACATATGTACATACATATGTACATATGTATGTACATAAGTGCGTGTCACGAGTCTCCTTTGCCGGCTGCTGGGTCCTTTAAGAAACTTGTTTTATCTGTAAATTAAATACATAAGTACATACATACATATTTTTTAATCAAATTGTAAATTGCAGTACATACCAACTTAAACTGGATAAAAAAACTTTGTAAATCCGTACTGAATCCCATTCACACCGTCTAGGTTGAAGTCGCATCCATTTTAATCGTCAATTCTGCAATTAAAATTAATAATTGAATGCAAATAAGTTCCACTTACCTTATAATATTTCATTTTTACGCAACTATACGCAAAACACATCTGAATGCAACAGCAGTCAACTCTAAATGCAAAGAGAATTAGAAGACAAAACCGAAGACCGAAAATTCTCGCGCGTGTCAGGGTATAGCCGACAAGGCAATGCCTTGCAATTAGATTCACAAAGGGCCAATAATCAAACATGAACATTTCGGCCATGTCTAAAGCACATTTTCTTACGTGCTCATATCCCACACGATTTTATACGTAAAAATTAATTAAATATAATCTTAAATATTTTTAAATAACTCTACTTATTTTAAAAAGGTCATTCTCACGTCGGTGCAATACTCTTTGTTTTTGACACCAATTTTCTTTCCTCCCTTCCTTCCATCTCCATCTCTCTCTAATTTACGAATTCTCGCAACCGCTACTCCGAACGTAGATCGAAAACAATAACAAATATGAAGAACGAACTTCGTGAAGCCCTCGGCAGTAGCCGAGCGTAGGTAGAATTTGTTTCGGCTATTTTGTTTCGAACTTCGCTGAACGAGGCCCATGTAATTTGTTTTTGTTTTTCGAACATACCGCGAGGAATTGGACGGGCGAGGAATTCTGGAACTGAAGGGTCCTTATAAATGGCTCTTTTCATACTACTATAACATTAAAGATGTATTTGTGCAACAAGAGGCGCATTAAATCGGCACGACACTTGTTCCTTATTTCGTGCTCTATCTACAGTGGCTCCAAGCTTATTTCGTGAAGGAATTATTAACAATTTTAAATCGGCCCTGCCGGATAACTAGCAACGATATCTTTAAAATTTAAACGCAGTATTTTGGAGAAACACTTTGTTTATTTAACTAACAAAATTTTATTTTCCTAATCTTTAAAATAAATTAAAAAATTAAATAAATAGAAAAAATGTGACAATTCTCACACCCAAGCTTATTTCGTGCAAATATTTTAAAAACAAAAAACAGCTATTTTAGACTTTAAAGTTTTTTTTCTATATTACTTTTTTAAGTACTAGTCAATACATACTTTATTGGTTTTAGATGCTGGCCCTACATATTTAAGGATATATAAGAAATTCTTTGTGGCAGTACCATGTACCATGAGTGATCAAAGGAAATTACTCCAAAATCACTTTAAAAGTGACAAATATCATCGTGATTTTTCTGATATGGTTTCCTTAACCCCCACTGCATTCCATTACATAATTAAATCATTTTTTTGTAGGAGTTTCGTGGCAGATTGGGGTCGAGATAGACAAATACTTATACATTTTTCAGTGAGCTGTGTTGTATTATCCTTATAAGAAAGGAACAGGAGATACTTTCAGTTCCCAGATTAGATGCATTATATTGAGCACGAAATATGTAACAAATGTAGTGTGAAATAGGTGCGCCCTATGTTGCAGGATCACATATTAAGGAGGTCAAGTAGTATCAAAACAGCCATTTATAAGCAAACATTACAGCAAGGATCGTCTAAAATCTGCATAGAAGGTTATAATTCACTCGATTTTCTTTCGGAATGATTTTATCCTTACATATAAGTATAAAATTAGCCAATTTAGTTTTGGATAGACTAAAATATGTGCTGTGGTGACTGAATTCCTGCCTGTAAAATAAGCATCTCAATGCATTTGTGAAGCAAGGCGGATTCATTCCATTGTTGGGCCTGTATGGCGTCAATTGGCGTGACGAAACAAATTTTTTTCAATGAAATAGTAAATGGCGATATGTTTCCTTAAAAATTTAAGAAAAATTTGCTTAAAATGGCAGAAGAACTGCGCCTACGGGGTCGTTTTGGTAATATCAGACTAAGATCATACGTGCTCGGCAGGCTTTGTGAGGGCGTGGCTCGTCTGGAAACGAACAAAATTTATAAAAAACATTACAAAAATCAACATTTTGAAGTGTTACTACAAATTTTAACCAAAATGTAGACTCAGTCATTATAAAAAAAAGTTAAAATAAATATTAACTCAAAAATGCTATAAGGAAATATTGGCTTAATAGTCTAGTAGAAACATATATTTTTTTTCGTATAGAATATTTTGAAAGTTGTTAAAGAATGAAGAAAGGTAAAAAAAATATAGTAAAATCTAAAAATAAAAAAGTTATTTTATATTTTCTAAACTGCACGAAATAAGCTTGGGTGTGAGAATTGCACTCTTTTTCCTATTTATATAATTTTATTATTTGTTTTAATTATTGAGAAAATAATTTTATGTTAATTAAATAAACAAATACTTTCTCTAACATAATGCGTTTAAATTTTTAAAATATCCTTATTGGTTTAGCGGCAGTGCTAATTTGAAGTTGTTGTAAATTCTTGCACGAAATAAGCTTGGAGCCACTGTATATAACTAATTTGACAGCCGTTTGTTAATGTTTTCCCTTTATTTTTGGTCCATATAATGAACTTAATGTTCACTGAAATATGTATTCGGTGCATTTCGGCCCTTATGTTTGGCCCAATCTTCACGGACAAACGATTAATTTGTTTTTATATATGTACGATTTAAGAATAACATTTTCGTAGTATCACGGTGATTTTTTTTTCTGTCTTAAATTGAAAGAGAACTAATTATCGCATTTTAATAGATATTCGCGATCCTATTTTACTTATTTCACCATAACTTCATATTTTAATGTGATCAGGCCAATAAACTTTTAAAATATACATAAGCTACCAATACCAAAGCCAAATTAAAAAAAAAAAATTAAAAATTAAGCCAAAAGTTCATTGTTTCTTAAATTTTAATTAGCTGCACGAAATAAGCTGCGGCGTGAAAAAAGTTCAAAAATTTGATTTTTAAATATTATTGTTTGTTCTTATTAATTGGGAAGATTTTTTTTAATTTAAAATGTAGGATATCTGATTTAAAACACTGCATTTAAATTTTTTCGATATCTCTAATGGTATAGCAGCAGTGGCGATTTACACTTTAGTTTCTTGACTGCACGAAATATGCTGCGATCCACTGTAAATGTATTTGGGCAAGCTTCGCGCTATTCTGCGCCTAGCAAAATTACATATTTCCTACATACATACATACATACATATTGGCTTCCCTCGCACTATTCTGCGCTAAGCAATTGCTTAAACTCCAAAGCTTCATACATACGCACATACAGTGCATTTCTATTTTGTCTCCTCTTTGCTCGTTAAGCGTGCACAAACACCTGCACCTATGGTTTTGGTGGGCGTTATTTTTTCGTGCGGTTCCTGTATATCCATCTCCATTGGCCTCCTTTAGCAATTTTTTTATTATTTGCCGCTAGTTTTTGGTCGAGCCGATATTTTAGCTAGTTTCGATTTTTTAGCTAGGTTTTGGTGGGCGTTATTTTTTCGTGCGGGTCCTGCATATCAATCTCCATTGGCCTCCTTTAGCTATTTTTTCAGCTATTTTGTGAATTTCTTTCCACGTAGTTCTTTACGATCCTTTTGTGAGTTCCGAAAAAACAAAAGAAAACTCCATATAATTCCCGAAAGTCATTGACATATTCCACCAAATTTATAAGCGTTTTCCAGCTAGTTTTGGCGGATGGTTTTTTTCTCGCATAGTTCTACGATTGTTGTTGTCGTATTCCGGAACTTAAGGTCGAAGAAGCCAATTTTGAGTAAGTGGCTAAGAATTTGCAACAATTTCCGGGGCTAGTTTGTAGCTAGATCTAGCTACTTTTTTTTCGCTATATTCTATTATCCGCACGCGTTTCGTAGATCCGTCACTGACAGCTCAGTTCCCTTGTTTTGCTAGCGACTGATCATAGCTAGATTTGGCTATTTTCTTTTCTTGCCGTTTATTTTTATTCTGCGAGCTTCGCAGGGTTTTCCACAGCGTTTAAGGATTAAAGTTCCTTTTCCGCGCACTCGCTTTTCTCTTTGCGGGGGGCAGGCCTTCTCTTTTCATAGGGCATAGCTGAGTATGCCCATAGAGGGAAATAAAAAGGGAATCTCCTCCCCGGCCAAGTCGAACCCATCCGCTCCGCGGCCCATTCGAGCCTATTCAGCACCCAGGCCCTCCAGTCCGAGGATCAGAAGTTCGGCTTCCACTTCCAAAGGGACGGATCGTCGATCGACAAGTCCGTCAAACGGCCGGTGGCAAAAGCTTCTAGCGACTCTTCGCTTGCCATAAAGTCAGAGTCTCCCTCTGTTTCAAAGCCGGAATTCCTGAGGGTGACACGCTCTAGCAGCCACAAAATGGCATCCGCTGCACAACCAACGGCCGAACAGCCAACGGCCGAACCGCCAACGGCCGCAACCGTGTCGTTGCGCAAATTCATAGCCGCCAGCGATCGTGTGAGCATTTTTGAAGCAAAGATCAATACTCCAGGTCAAGCTTCACCGTTCCTACATCTGCAACAAGTCCGCCTGCAACAAGTGCGAGCCTTATGGGACAAGGTAGAGACGGAGTACGACACGTGCTCCGATCTAATTGCCCAAGAAGGATGCCTCGAAATGGTGTCCGTGCTGCAGAAAAAATATGACTATTGCTATTCGGTGTATGAGTCATGTTCAGCAGAGATCAGTGCGACAATTGACAGTGCCACGCCTCAAGCCGTGCAACCACCCTCCCAGCCAATAATTTCCTCCGGTTGCCGCTTACCTCCCTGCGATACTGAAGTCTTCGACGGGGACTACCTTCGATGGCCCACTTTCCGGGACCTATTCACGGCAGTATATGTCAACAACCCCAGGCTGACACCGGTCGAGAAGCTCTTCCATCTTCTCACGAAGACGAGCGGCGAGGCGAAAGCCATCGTCTCCAAATCCCCGCTCACAAATGACGGGTTCGCCTCTGCGTGGGAAGCGCTTCAAGACCGTTTCCAAAACAAACGACTTTTAGTCAACAAAGGAAGCAACTCTGTCTCAACTGTTTCGCGCGAGGCCATCAGCTTCGTGACTGTACGAGCACTCACTGTTGTTTCACGTGTAGAGGAAGGCATCATACGCTGCTTCACCGCACTGCGAGTTCCGAAAATATGAGTTCCTCCAGCTCCTCGCATCCTACACCATCTTCGAGTTCCTCCAGCTCCTCGCATCCTACACAAGCTTCCAGCCCGAATGCATCCGCAAGCACTTTAACGGTGCAAAACTATTTCGCCTCTGGCACTACAGCCGTTCTTCTGGGCACGGCGATGATCGACGTGTGCCATTTGGGCAAGACTAACCGAGCACGAGCTTTAATCGACTCGGGATCCGAGGCGACGTTCATTTCTGAACGGCTTTTCAACCGTATGAAATTGCCATTCCGCAACATCTAGGCCGAAGTCTCTGGTCTAAACCAGTCGGTTTCCGCGAAGTCGACTAGGCTATGCCATTTCCAAATTCGTTCTCCTACGAAGCCGGGTCTCCAATTAGACACCGAAGCTTATGTCCTTCCGAAATTAGCGGGCAAATTGCCCTCCCATCCAATCTCTCGGAATTCCTTGAGAGACCTGCCCGCTCTCCAGTGGGCAGACCCGACGTTCTATGAGAGTTCGCAACTGGACGTCCTAATCGGTGCCGACATTTTACCGTCGGTAATGTTGAATGGCACCCGAAGAAGTATTTGCGGCTCTCTTCTAGGCCAAGAGACTATTTTCGGATGGGTGCTTACGGGGCCGATCTCCCATGTAAAGGCGAACAGAGTCGCATCTTTTACGACGCAGGTTCATCCAATAGGCGAGGATTCCTCTCGCCGATGTTCTAACGTCCCTTTCCGTTGCTTTCCAAAGCTGAGCCCGAGTTCAAGGGCGAAGCCAAGTCGATCTTACGTCGATGGCAACACCTCAAGACTGAAGCGCAGCAGCTTAGTGTACGGTGGAACTCCGCGAACGCAATCCATGGCAATGTCTGTCAAGGAACGTCCAAATTGGCGATCGAACGAATGGCGGCTCGGCAGAATCGTTTCTGCCTTTGCAGGAGCCGATGACCGCATTCGAGTTGGAGAGAGCGGCACATAAAGCGCCCTCTCCATAATGTCATACTTCTCCCTGCGGAGGATACCGAATCCTTCGTTCCCAGGGACTAGGGCTTCTTACTTTTCGAGGTCCGATCGTTCGCACTCCCCCTTCTAAAAAACTTCGTTTTTTTTTCTTTATCGCAGGACCCGTTTTTCATACAATGGCTCCACGTCCTCGCACCGCCCAGTCCTTGGATAGCAGACGTTCCCGAGGTATTCAATCCTACCGCAGCCGAGTCTGCCTCTTCGGAAGTGCAAGAGGTTCCACAAACTGAGCGCTGAAAAGCGCCTTCGAGCACTGCTTATCAATAAGTACTGTTCGAACTGCCTCGCACATCAGTACTCAGGAGGAACCTGCCGCAGCTAGGACGGCTGCAAGAAGTGCGGAGGGACCAATCACACCTTGCTCCACACGCACGAGGAACGGCCGCCACAACGCACACCCCAGCCAACGGCGTCACCATCACGCCCTTAACGCAATCCTGTCCAATCCGCCAGGTCGCATCCTCGCCATTCGGCTACGTCGGTGGCCACGTTGGTTCGCCAGAAGACGGTCCACATACTTCCGACAACCATCGTCGTGGTGGATACTGGATCCTGTACTTTCGAGACCGCGGCGATGATCGACCCCTGTATGGCGGTGAGCAGCATCGACCGATCGCTGGCGGCCGCTTTCCGGCTGCCCTTCACCAGTCTGGGAGACGACGAGGTATGTTCACGCCAGAAAGGCGTGAAGTTCTGAGCGGCAGTGTAAGCGGCCAGCGCTTGCGCTCAAGCTTGTGCTTCCGCTCACTGTGTCCTCCGCTCTTCCCGTTTCCCTCTCTTTCGCTACTCTCCAGCAGCGAACTCACCACTCCGCGGTCCCTGCAGCCCTTTCCATGTAAATCTAAGTTAGTCTTAATATAGATGTGAAGCGAATAAAATTGAATTGAAGCGAAGCTACCCCCCTCTCGCCTACTAATTGGGAAAATTGTGGGACTCAGCAGCCAGCCCAACTCCAGCCCAACATTCCGACGACCACGCTATCCTAGAAGGACGACGACCCCTCCATTTCAATCACTAAGGGAAATTCGCGTATCCGGAAATGTTATCAATTCACCTCCTTTCTCCAGACTATAAGTTGATAATGCGTGTGTTCGTCTGATACCAAAATTTAAAAACACGGGGAAAATGGAAAACTGAAGTGTTTAATGTAATATAGGTCTTTTGGTAATGACATACCGGTTTTTACATTCAAATTTCGCGCTTCGCTTGTGAAGTCAAGTATAATCGTATCCTGGCAATGTTGTATATCGTTTGAAAGGTATTGGCATCACCTTTAAAATGACATATAGTTTGTTTACATGAGCTTCCACGTTAAGAAATTACAATTGCTTGAAATGGAGTTCACAAACGCAGAAATTCGGGCAATTTTGAAATTTTATTTCGCACAGGGAAAAACTGCTGTGGAATCAAGCAGACATATTATTGCTGTCTTAGGAGATAACAAACTTTCGATTCAAACCGCCGAACAGTGGTTTAGGCGATTCCGAAGTGGCAGTTTTGATACCGAAACACCCAAGCCTTCCGGACGACCAGTGACCGTTGATACGGATAAAATAATGGAAATAGTGGATCGAAATCGTCATGTGACTGTTAGAACCATCGCAGAAACCGTCCATAGGCATTTAAAGTCCATAGGCATTTAAATTTAACAAAAAAGCATGATGTATGGGTGCCTCATGAGTTATCCCAAAAAAACCTTCTTCGACCGTGTATCAATCTGCGAATCTTTGTTGCACCGTAATAAAATCGCCTCATTTCTGGATCGGCTAGGTGATGAAAAATGGATCACATATGACAACATAAAGCGTAAAAGATCCTGGTCGAAGCACTGAGTCGACTCAAACGGTGGCAAAGCCAGGACTGACGGCTCAGAAGGTGTTGCAGAGTGTATGGTGGGATATCAAAGGAATTCTCCATTATAAAGTGTTGCCCTATGGCCAAATCATAAATTCTGACCTTTACTGTGAACAACTGGAGCGATTAAAGATTGCACTTAAAGAAAAGCGGCCAGCCATGGTGAATCGTAAAGGCGTTGTGTTCCATCATGACAACGACAGGTCCCCTATACATTTTTGGTGACGCGTCACAAGCTACAGGAGCTTGGTTGGGAAGTGTTAATGCATCCACCTTATAGTCCGGACATTACCCCAAGCGATTACCATCTGTTTTTGGCCATGCAAAATTTTTTCGATGGACAAAAATTGAGTTCAAGGGAGAATTGTGAAAATCGAATCGCCAAGTTTTTTGCCAGTAGGGACAAGGACTTTTTTATGAGAGGCATATACAAGTTACCATCAAAATGACAGAAAATCATCGAAGACAACGGTACATATATAGCACTTAAATCGGACAATGCTAACTATGTTAAAATCGTCGTCAAAAATCAATAAAGAAACTGGTGTCATTACCAAACAACTTATTGGTTTAAGGGGGTCTTCTCATTCAAAACCCGTTTTTTGGACCCTTTTTAAAAAAATTCTTATTTGAAAACGCAAGAATAAACAAACAAACTTTTTTTATTTATTGTATTAAATAAATAATAAAATAAGTAAATAAAAAAATATTTTTTGCCTCGATACGAGGGCAGTTTGAAAAAGGTGTCGTCATGGCGGTCACGAGCCAGGGTCTCCAGAGCGTCCGAAATGAAAAAAAAAACGGAGTTATAATCAGTATAGATGTCATTCTCGGGTGACGGATGGAAATAATTTTAAAATTTTTTTAAACAAAATTGCGGCCATTAAATAAAATTTCGATTTCGGGTTTTTTTTTTGTAGTTTAGTGTATAAAAAAAAATAGTAAAAAAAAGTAAAATTAATCCCTTCCGTCACCCGACAATGGTGACAATTCTGCGTCGATTCCTCTTTGTTTCATGAAAATCGGTTCAGTTGAACTGGAGATATCATGGCCGCCAGTTCGAAAAACGTGGTTTCGAGATAAACGCGTTTGAAGTTTGAAAATATCTCATTTTGCGAAGACCTTGCTTCACAAAAAAGGCTGTATCTTCTAAAGTATATTTCTAAAAATCCTTTCGGGGACATATACACAACATCCCAAGCTATAAATAAATGCAAAAAAAAAAAAATCGAAAAAAAAAGTTGCTCAATGAGAAGGCCCCCTTAATAGGGTCTTCCCACACAACATTAAAGCGCATTTAGCATCCGTTGAACAAATGCTCCATAAGGTTTTGCCGTTCCGAATTTTCCCAAATGGGCCGGCGTTAGTTCAGCATTAAAATCTAACCTCGGTTTGTTTGGCGATAGTTAGGCGATAGTTCTTCGGTGCAACTCTGAAAATTTGACCATCACTACGAAAGTGTATACACACTTGGCGAGAAACAAATGAGATATGGAATTTAAAACGTGGCGACAAAGCTACAAGCATCCCCAAAATAGATGTTGGCGTTTTTTCTGTATATTCTTGCCCCAATATGTCCCCAATTGTTACTATTTAATATAAACCGCCTACCTCTACCTTATTTTAAAGATTTTGGTTGCCTATACCACCTATAGACACTCTTCGGGGAATTTGCTCTTTGTTAGAGAAAAATCATTAGAAAAACTAAAATTCCTTGTCTTTTAATTCATTTAAATTTATGGCGGATAAATTCTGACGCAATCTGTGCCTTTTGCTGTTGTACAACAGCCAAAATAGTTGGTAAATGCTCAATTTCAAATTTGCAACTGCCAATTCGACAGCCTTTACGTTTTCATGAGCCACAGCTGATCGATCAGCTGTTCGGATGCTAAATGCGCTTTAATGTTGTGTGGGAACACGAGTTTCACATTTGTGAAAAATCCCAAACGTTCCTCACAAATGTGCTGTGTGGGAAGACAGTATAAGGGACCATTCTGGTTCTGGTTGTATCGAGAAATAGGCAATCTTCAGGATTTTTTTTTAATATACATAATTTTCTGATATTGTAAAGATGATTTTGTAAAAATTTAACAAATTTTGAAGCATTTCCGGAAGCAGGACACAGAGCGACGTAGGCCAATGCACCAAACAAGAACCTGTTACCGCCATAAAATAGATACCGAATCTTTAGCTGGGCGATAAAAGGTGTGACCATTGAGTTTCTAAGAATTGAAGGTATTTTTCCTGGAAATGTATCTGGCCACTTGAGAAAGCACCGGCCTGGGATAAAATACAAAGTTTTTTAAAGCTGCGCATTTTTCTGTAAAACTTAAGCAAATAAATAAAGTGACTGCTAAATAAATTTGTCGAACATTTAATAATCCTACGCCAAGCATTCGTGCTCTCAAAATTTCTTTAAAAAACTTTATAAACGCTAAAACTTAGCCGCAATTACAAGTGACGCCAACCAATTGTGAAATTCATTTTGAGACGCCCGCATACATACATACATATAAGCCAACATACACACCATATATGCACGTGTATAAGGGCTAGGTAGAGACATATGTATGTGTAGGAACTCGATGAAATAGATCACGCCAGGTACACACAGTAAAACGGACTACTGAAAATGGCTCCGGAAAGAGATACAACGCTATGCAAATCTTGCAATAAGAGCCGCCTAACAAATGGTGTCCAAAATTGGGTGCAGTGCGACTCTTGCAAGGAATGGTACCACTTCGCATGCGCTGGAGTAGACGACTCTATTGCGCGTGTACGATGGACGTGCGACTTGTGCATGCATGTCGACCGTTCTTCCTCAACATCGACGCGCGCCGCTATACAGCCAAACGAATCGGAAAACGCCGCACCAAACAAAGATGCCGCCATATTGTCAATGGAACCCAATTCGAATAAGCCGGCGGAGACATCATTTACTCAAACTTCAAACAACTTAATGATGGCGATGCTGGAAGAAACGCGTGAATCTGAAAGAAAATATATCGAGCAGAAATACGCAATACTGGCACAGCAGCAGGGGATGCAGGAAAGGCCCATCCAATTATTTGGACCAACTTCATCTCAACTAGCAGCAAGGCAAATTCTACCAGCGGACCTGCCGACTTTCAATGGCAACCCAGCAGACTGGCCAATCTTCATAAGCATGTACGAAAACAGCAGCTCGGTAGCCGGATTTACGGACGCAGAAAACATGCTTCGTCTCCAGAAGTCTCTCAAAGGAAAGGCTTATGAATTGGTACGAGACAAGCTGTTACTGCCGGCACTGGTCCCAGAGGTAATCAACACCCTAATAACCTTCTTTGGGCGACCGGAGCAGATCCTTGACCGTCTGATCGATAAAATTCGTAAAATAACTGTACACAAAGACAGACTAGAGTCCCTTATAGACTTTGCAATGGCGGTCCGCAACGCGTGCGCCACGATGGAGGCTTGCAACCTGTACGCACATCTTGACAACCCAATGCTTCTGCGTGAACTTGTTGACAAGTTGCCCACTCAACATAAATTAAGTTGGGCCTTGCATCCGCGCAGTCCTTCCATCCCTGTTGTTAAGTCATTTAGCGACTGGATATATCATCTAGCAGAAGCCGCCTCCACAGTCATGCCTGGACAAAACTCATGGAGCGTGAACACTAATACACAAGCATTTGCCGGAGAAAAGCACCAAGCAATTAGTGACTCCGAAGACGACCAGCAACAAGACGCCAAACCAAACCCCGCATGCGTCATGTGCAACTCTACCGAACATTACGCCGCCCAATGCGAGAAGTTTCTAAAATTGACAGTTCCGGAGAGACAGCGTAGAATCAGCGATGCCAAAGCTTGCTACAGATGCCTAAAGACGCACCGACGTAAATGCTTCTCCAAACGTAATTGCGGTGTTGATAATTGCCAATCGAAGCACCACCCTCTTCTCCATAGAGACGCACCTAGGCCCGAACTCGTCAGTGCTCATCATAAGGAAGCAGACTTCGAAGAACAATACTTTCGAATTTTGCCAGTGACTCTGTATGGAAACAGAGTAAGGATCAACACGTATGCGTTCCTGGATGAGGGCTCATCTGTGACATTAATCGACGAAGGAATTCTAAAACACCTCAAAGTTTGCACATCACCCGAACCACTCTGTTTGCAGTGGACCAGCAACACCACCCGTACAGAGGAAACGTCTTTCAAGGCCCGAATGCAAATATCGGAGATGGGGAGTGGAAGAAAATTGTGGCTTAACAACGTACACTCAGTCAAGCACCTCGCGCTACCAAAGCAAACTGTCGATGTAAATAAACTCGTCGGCAGATATAATCACTTACACGGATTGCCAATAAAATCATATTATAATGCTGAACCGATGCTACTAATTGGCGCTAACAACTGGACCTTGGCTGTTCCTCGCAAAATTCGTGAGGGAAGACGCAACGAGCCCATCGCCTCAAAATGTACTCTCGGATGGAGTATTCAAGGCACAAGCAACGCCAACAGAAATTATTCCTTCCATCACTGCGTTTGCAACTGGAACGACATCGAAAAGGCAGTAAGAGAAAGCTTCAACGCAGATCCTATCGCACCCCGAGAGCTCTTCTCCAAAGACGACGAAAAGGCTAAAGGAATTCTGGAGGAAACATGCAAGAAAGTAAACGGTAGATATCAAATTGGCTTGCTCTGGCGGGACAAGAATTTAATTCTCCCAGAGAGCTACTCAACCGCACTGAAACGCCTCGAATGCCTAAGACAGAAAATTAACAAAAATCCAGAACTATTTGACCAAATTCAAAATCAGATTGACAACTTAGTCGTAAAAAACTACGCGATCGAACTGCAACCCGCAGATACAGCTGAGGACACAAACCGTGTATGGTACCTCCCTATATTTATCGCACTAAATCCAAACAAGCCAAATAAAATAAGACTAGTTTGGGACGCAGCTGCAAAGAGCCACGGCAAATCCCTCAATGACTTTATGCTAACTGGACCGGATTATTTAAACTCGCTAACCGAAGTCCTAATGGCATTCAGAGTGGGCCGTATAGGCGTGTGCGCGGACATCGCTGAGATGTTCCACCAAATTATCATCCAGCAGAGCGACATGCATGTTCAACGATTTTTGTGGCTTCATAAGGATAACAAAACTCCACGTATATTCGTCATGCGTGCAATGACATTTGGTATCTGCTGCGCGCCCTGCATTGCTCATTATGTACGTGACAAAAACGCACAGGAGTTTAAAGATCATTGTCCCCGAGCTTTCGAGTCCATAACAGAGGCTCATTATGTGGACGATCTCATAGACAGCTACACCGACGACTCTGAGGCGATCGCAGTAACCACAAAAGTCCGTGACATCCATGCTGAGGGAGGCTTCACTATTAGAAATTGGATCTCAAACTCTACCGCCGTCCTAAAGCATTTTGGAGAGCGCCAAATAGACGAGCAGAGCCCCAAAGAGCTTGGTGACCCCGAGAAGGTTCTCGGTATGAATTGGGAACCCTCGAACGACGTTTTTAAGTATACTTTCAGATTTGCGAGACTTAAAAGAGACGTACTAAACGGAGAAACTGTACCAACAAAACGTGAAGCCCTACAGGTTCTGATGTCCATTTTCGATCCTTTGGGCCTGCTATCATGTTACACAATCGGTCTTAAAATGCTACTGCAGAAAGTATGGCGTGCAGGCATAGACTGGGACGAGGAATTACCCGACACTTTACTCGGATCATGGCGACAATGGAAAACTGTCCTTCTTCAAGCTGCTAAATTGGAATTTCCTCGCTTCTACTCAACTCTGCTGCCGAATGCTGATCAGATTGATTTGCACACATTTGTAGATGCGAGCGAGTACGCCTACGCAGCAGTTGCGTATCTTCGTATCAAGCAGGGAGCCGATATCGACACAGTCCTAGTAGCAGCTAAATGTAAGGTTGCCCCGCTAAAGCCAGTCTCAATACCACGCATGGAACTCCTGGCAGCAGTAATGGGAGTGAACTTAGCCAAAAAAGTTATTAATATTAGAAGGCTCAACATTAACTCAAGCACATACTGGTCAAACTCAACAACAGTACTGCAGTGGCTGGATATGGACCCTCGAAAATTTCAAGCCTTTGTCATGCATAGAGTTGGGGAGATAATAGATCAAACAAGTCGAGCTCAATGGCGCTGGATTCCGACCAAGGAAAATGTTGCAGACTCAGCCACAAAGTTAATCAAATCTCCTAAAGCTAATCGCTGGTTAAAAGGTCCCCAGTTCCTAGCCTAGCCAGAAAACGAATGGCCAGAACAAGACATTACTCTCGAAAGTGGCGAACCGACGGAGCTACGTAAGCATGTCTTTATTATAAACCAACTAAAGCATTTTGATTTTGCAGAGGAATACTTTTCTGATTGGAGACGCCTGTATAGAGCCGTGGCAACCTTTATGCTATACATTAAAAGAATACGCGCTAAATGTCTTGGAAATCCACTGCCAAAAGCTTTAGACCCCGAAATCATAAGCAAAGCGAAGTCGTGGATATATAAACAGGTACAATCTAGGACATACTATGCCGAAATCACTGCTCTCAAAAATAACACGGCCGTGAACAAATCAAGTCCTTTGATTGCTCTGAATGTCTACTTGGATGAGGAAGGCGTGCTACGTGTTCAGGGAAGAAAATATAACATAAATCCTGACGATGCTATCGTTCTGCCAAAGAGGTCTCGAATTGCATTTTTGATCACGAAAGATTTCCATGAAAAATCACATCACATAATGCACGAATCGACAATAAATATCATAAGAAACGACTTCTACATACATCGTCTACGAGTAAAACAGTTCGGAAGGCCTGTCAAAAATGCAAAATCGCCACATCCAGGCCCGAAGTACCTCAAATGGCTGCAATACCAGCCGCCCGACTAGCCTCCTTCGAGAGACCCTTTACATACACAGGAGTTGACTACTTTGGTCCCATACTAGTTAACGTCGGCAGACACAAGGAAAAACGATGGGGAGTCCTCTTTACATGCCTGACACTGAGAGCCGTACATATAGAAGTGGCCTATAAACTTGATGTAAGGTCGTGTATAATGTGTCTTCGAAATTTCATGACACGTCGCGGGACTCCAAAAGAAATCTTCTCCGACAACGGAACCAACTTTAAAGCAACTGAGAAGATGGTGAAAGAAGAACTCAAAAAGATTGACTTTGACGAAATCACTATAAAGTATGAGGCGATTAAATGGCACTTCAACCCACCAGCGGCACCGCATATGGGAGGTGCTTGGGAGCGACTCGTCAGATCAGTTAAGACTGTTTTGAAATCAATCTGCCCAACTAGTAACTTCAATGACGAGACCCTTCGAACAGCCCTTATGGAAGCAGAAAACGTCATCAATTCTAGACCACTAACCTTTGTCTCTTTAGATTCAGGCGACGACGAAGCGCTCACCCCAAATCATTTACTTCTGGGATCGACGAGCGGCTATAAGCGCATGGCAGATGACAACACCGATGTAAGGCTGCGTTGGCAACAGACTCAACTATTCGCGGACAAGTTCTGGAGCCGCTGGGTGAAGGAATTCACCCCAGACTTGACCAGACGTAGCAAGTGGTTCACCAAACGTCCCCCAATAGCTATCGGCGACATTGTTATAGTAGTCGACGATCAACTTCCAAGGAACATGTGGCCCAAAGGACGCATCACTGATGTAGTGACGGCCAAAGACGGCCAAGTTCGACCGAGCTACAATTTGGACACCAAAAGGAATCATGGTCCGCCCAGTGGCCAAGATTGCTACCCTAGACGTCGGCTTAAAAGATGGTGAAGATCCGAAGGACGTTCACGGGGGGGGGTGGGGGGGGAATGTTACCGCCATAAAATAGATACCGAATCTTTAGCTGGGCGATAACCATTGAGTTTCTAAGAATTGAAGGTATTTTTCCTGGAAATGTATCTGGCCACTTGAGAAAGCACCGGCCTGGGATAAAATACAAAGTTTTTTAAAGCTGCGCATTTTTCTGTAAAACTTAAGCAAATAAATAAAGTGACTGCTAAATAAATTTGTCGAACATTTAATAATCCTACGCCAAGCATTTGTGCTCTCTATTAATTTCCCGATCGTTCCTATGGGAGCTATAAGATATAGTCGTCCGATGAAATTTTTAGCGAAAATCTGAAATAATATAGAATGGCCATATCTAAAAAATGGTGCAAAAATGTTGAAAAACAGCCAAGTTATAATTTTTTTTCTAAAAATTTATCGAACATATGTATGGCAGCTATATGATATAGTCGTCCGATCCGGCCCGTTCCGACATATATAGCAGTGAGAGTATATAGAAGAATATATGCAATTATTAAATATATTAAAATTTCAGTCACAAGTTTGCAACGCCGTGAAGAAGACCTTTCCGACCCTATAAAGTATATATATTCTTGATCAGCATTAACAGCCGAGGCGATCTAGCCATGTCCGTCTGTCTGTTTCTACGCAAACTACTCCCTCAGTTTTAAAGCTATCGAATGAATGCTCTCACTATATAGTAGTGAACGGGCCGGATCGGACGACTATATCATATAGCTGCCATACAAATGATCGACTAATTTTTAGGAAAAAAAAGTAACTTGGCTGTTTTTCAACATATTTTCATCATTTATGAGATATGGCCATTTTTTAGTATTTCAGAATTTCGTTTTTAATATTATGAAAATCGGATGAATATATCTTATAGCTGCTATAGGAACGATCAGGAAATTAATAGAAGAAAATTATAACTTCATTGTTTTTAACCTATTTTTATCTACTCTGATATATAAGCTTTTTTTGTTATTTCAGAATTTTTGTATAATTTATATGTGCCGACGGCCAGACATTGTAATAAATAGGTAAAATAAGTGTTGCAAGGAAAATCTAGTACTTGTTAAGTTATCCGATCTTGTGTCTATTCATTGTCTTGTGAATTGTGGTAGGGCACACTACGGTAACATTAAGTTAGTTCTGTAATGTATGAGGATAATTTAACATTTACAGAATAAAATGCGCCCTACAGACACGGCCATAGGCCCTTAAAGTTAAACCCTTCCTTTGGACCTACGCGTGTGGGAGAGTCGTTAAAGGCAACTCCACATGATGCAAGACAACTCCTTTTATTCGCAGTCCTAGAGAGACTGCAAGGGCAACTTGCGCTAGAGGACGGCTTGACGACCAGCTAGAGAGTTGCCAGGAGCTCACGGAGCGCATCGCGTAGATGAGTCGCAGCCAGCGACATAGAGGGCGCAGCCAGCGCCGAACACTGGGTACTGGGCAGCCAGCGTTCAGGAGGGGCAAGGAGCGGCAAGTACGGTGTCGGCAGCCAGCGGGCAGAAGGCGCAAGGAGCGCCAAGCGTCGGTGCCCGCAGCCAGAAGGTACAGGTGCCGTCATTTTGGAGCGCGCTGAGGCAGCGCCATATGTGGACCTGGGAATGTTGTATTCCCCAAGGCGAGTTCCAGGCTGAACGGAGGGGAACCCACCCCTACAACAACGCGAGCGGATCAGCAGCCAGCGAGTAGTGGTCAGAAAACCGGCCGCAAGTGAACATAACCACGGCGGCGGCCATTTCTCGCCCAGCCACTACGGTTACTACAGTAGCGTCTCAACCTAGAAGTACTGCTGTCACAGCTGCGAGCTTACAGCCGGAGGTAATCCAGCCACTCACGTCGTACCTTTTGGAATGGATTACCGCGGTGGAGAATGAGCTGAAGCAGGTTAAAGTCCTGAACAGTGTGAGCACTGCCAATCGCAGTTGGCCCAAGCGCAAATGGCGCCAACAGTGGAGCGTCGGAGCGGCCGCCATCTTGGAGCGGACCGCCATTAGCCACATCGAATGGTGAGGCCCCAACGGGGTCGGGCCGGTCCTACATAGCAAAGTCGACCGCCATTGCTTACGACAACAGCATCGCCATTTGTTGGATCCTACGCCTCGATGACGCCGAATGAATCCCATGAAGCCAAGAAGGCTTCCGGACCTGCCTGTATTTGGAGGGCAGCCCGAGGAGTGGCCTATATTTAACTGTGCGTTTGCGGAGACGCCCCAAGCATACAACTGCACAGACCTGGAGAACAACCAGAGGTTGCTGAAGTCGCTGCTGATTCACCCTGGGAACGTCAGCGCCGTGATGGAGAACCTGCGCTTTAGGTTTGGCCGACCGGAGCAGCTTATACGCAGCCAGCTGAACAGCGTGCGAGAGGTGCCGCCGATTTCGGAGCAGCACCTGGCGAAGATCGTTCCCTTCGCAACCCGAGTGAGTAACCTCACGGCCTTCCTGCAGTCAGCGAAAACGGAGCAGCACCTGGGGAACCCAACCCTCATGGCGGAGCTTGTGGTGGAGCTTCCTACGAGCAAGCGAGTGGATTGGGCCAGGCACGCTGCATCGATCGAGCTCTTTCCCACTGTAGCGCACTTCAGCGCGTGGCTACAGGAGTACGCAAACATCGTGTGTACGATTTTGGACGTCGAGGGAAAGGAGCCGAGGCGTCGACAGTACAGGAGGTCTTCGCCACGAGGTGGTTACAGGGACGAGAGGAGCCAGCAGTCGGTTGTCCTCAGAAACAGCCTGGAGAGAAGGGCCCCCCAGCCAGCGGAGGGACCCCTGCACAGGAAACTAAGCTGCATTGACGCCGAGGGAGGCCGACTCTTGTTTCGTATACTGCCAATAACGCTGTACGGAGCGGGTCGCCAGGTGGACACATACGCGCTCTTGGATGAAGGATCCTCCGTCACGATGATCGACGACGAGCTACGGAGTGATCTGGGAGTGCGAAGCGAACATCGACAGCTGAACATTCAATGGTTTGGCGGAAAGGCCAGCAGAGAGCCAACCAACGTGGTGAGACTTGAGATAAGTGGAGCTGGGAAGCCCACTCGCCACGCCTTGAGGAACGTGTACGCCGTTTCGAGTTTGATACTGTCGATGCAGACGTTATGTCGGCGAGATGTCCAGGGCATGCATAAGGATGCGCGTCTGCCGATGAAGCTCTACAGCAACGTGGTGCCGAAGTTGTTCATCGGACTGGACCATGGACATTTGGGATTGCCACTTAGGACTAGGCGGTTTGCCAGAGAGGGACCGTATGCGGCCGCAACCGAGCTTGGATGGGTTGTGTTTGGGCCAGTAAGTGCCGTCACCGAGGTCCTGCCCTCTAGCCGTGTCAATGGATGATACGATGGAAAAGATGGTGGAGGACTACTTCGAGATGGAAAGCTTTGGTGTGATGCTCGCGCCACAGGTCGCAGCCAGCAATGACGCGCGGGCACAAAGGATCCTCGAAGACACCACGGTGAAAGTGGGGCGTCGCTATCAGACGCTGCCGCGGAGCTACGAGATGGTGCACAGACGGCTTATCAACGTAGAGAAGAAGTTGAAGCGCAACGGGCAGTTTGCGCTGGAATACGATCGGATCATCAAGGATTACGTATCCAAAGGATATGCGAGGAAGCTGCAGCTGACCTCATCGCCGCGAAGAGCAACAAGCTATGGTATTTTTTTTTTTTTTTTTTTTTTTTTTTTGATTTTATTTGCCTTTCTAACGCTACAAGTTTAAAACTTATAAATTAGAGCGCTAGTCACAAAGGGTTACAATACATTCTGTCATAAAGCTTAAACCTAAACAAAATTTGTGCATATGATATTCTTAATCTAACAATTTAAAGTTTATTATTATTATTATTATTTAGTATATTTTGTAGTTCATTTAACTTAATCCTAATCCTATTCCTAAGTCGCTGTAATTTAATTTAATTTATGAGACTTATTTAAACTGTGAGAGTACCTTTTCCTTGAATTGCGTAGCATTGCTAATATTTTTAATGTTGTTGGGTAGCTGATTCCATAATCTAATAGCATTAATAAAAAATTGTCTTTCGGATGTCAGGGATCTGGGCCTTATACAAATTAGATTGTTTAGTCTTCTAGACGCAGTAAATGTTTTGCCACATCTTGGCGTCGAAAACCCGAACAAGCCCGGTAAGGTCCGGCTGGTGTTCGATGCTGCAGCCAAGGTTGGAGGAACCTCGCTAAATTCGGCGCTGGGCAAGGGGCCTCAGCACTATAAGCCCTTGCCAGCCGTGCTCTTCCATTTCATGGAAGGAGCAGTCGGAGTCTTCGGCGACATCAAGGAGATGTTCCACCAAGTGCTGATTCGACCCGAGGATCGATGTTCAGGTTCAACGTGGTGTATCATCGAGTGCCAAGAAGCGTTCTAAGTAAAGATCGAGTCCCTACAAAGAGTGAGTATTTGAGCCTGCTGATGTCAACGATCCATTGAGATTCCTGTGCTGCCCGATGATTACAGCGAAGCTGTTGCTGTGAGTGATCTGGAGGCAGAAGATCCAGTGGGACGAACCACTACCAGAGGAGATAGGCAGAGCCTTTGATGCCTGGCGTAGGGAGATGGACGCCATGGGGCAGTTCCGATGTCCTCGCCACAATTTTGGCCGTGGAGCAGCTCCGACCATAGAGTTGCACATGTTCGTGGATGCGAGTCAATCTGCATTCGCTGCGGTGGCCTATTGGAGGGTCACGTACGAGGATGGCAACGTGCTGGCCAGCTTCGTGTGCGCAAAGACGAAGTGCGCGCCGATGGGAACGATGTCGATCCCACGGCTGGTGTTGCAGGCAGCGGTTCTTGGAACCAGATTGACGAACACTGTCAAGTAGGAGCACAGTATGGACATCAGTGAGACGGTATTATGGACGGACTCAAAAACGGTGCTGAGATGGATCGGTAGCACCCACCGCCGGTACAAGCAGTTTGTTGGCAACCGAGTGGCGGAGATTTTGGAGTCGTCAAAGGTATCCCAGTGGCTATGGGTACCTACAGCTGACAACGCAGCGGATGATGCGACGCGGTCGCAGAATAAGGCGGACCTCAGCCTGGAATCCCGTTGGCTAAGCGGTCCCGCATGTTTGAGGCAGCCAGCGAGCGGTTGGCAAGCGCCTGAGGAGGGAACTAAGCGTGTTTCGGATGCATCTGATGACGAGGAGATGCCAAGTGAGTTTGCATTGGTGGCCACAAATGAATTTGGCAATCCGTTCCAGAGATTCTCGAGCGTCAGCCGCCTGGTGAGGGCCACAGCCTGGGTCTTGAGGGATACGCGTTGGTGCCGCAAACAGAGAAGCGAGGTCGAGGAATACGGACTCACTGCAACGGAATGTGAGGCCGCGGAGAACCTGTTAGTCAGGCAGGCTCAACTGGAATCGTTTCCCGACGAGATGAGGTCGGTGGAACGCGGTAAGGAAGTCGCCAGCTCGAGTGAGATTCGAGGTCTGGCGCCGTACATGGATGAACACGGAGTTCTGCGAGTTTATGGCAGAGTTGATACCGCGCTGTGCATGCCGTACAGTGCGAGGAGGCCTGTGATACTGTCACACAGGCACAGTATTACGGAGATGGTTGTAAGACACTTTCACGCCCAGATGAAGCATCAAAACTTGGATGCGACGATTGCTCAGATCCGGACGAGATTCTAGTTCACGAAGATGAGAAGAGAGCTGAAGGAGGTTATCTCGTCGTGCAACGAATGCAAGTTGCAGCGAACGCGGCCGATGCCGCCGATAATGGCACCCTTTCCAGAGGATCGATTGGAAGCGGGTGGATGACCATTCAAATATACTGGATTGGACTACTTTGGACCACTGCTGGTGACTGTTGCCCGTCACCGAGAGAAGCGTTGGGTCGCCTTGTTCACGTGTTTGACGACAAGGGCGATTCATCTGGAGCTAGCGCATGACCTGTCGACGGATTCCTGCATAATAGCAATCAGGAACTTCGTCTGCCGTAGAGGACCAGTGCATAGACTGCGGAGTGATAACGACAAGAACTTCGTGGAGCTGACAGGGAGGCCAGACGATTTGGAGACGTGTTCGAGACGGAGAGCATACAGAGTGAATTATCCAGCAGGAGCATTGAATAAGTCTTTCTTTAATTGTTCGTCGAACCCGTCTGAGGGCGGAGTATGGGAGCGGATGGTGCAGTGCGTCAAACGAGTGCTTCGCCATACACTGAAGGAAGTCGCGCCGAGGGATCATGTGTTGGAGAGTTTCCTGATCGAAGCGGAGAATGTGGTCAACTCGCTTGTGCGCCACGAAAAGTGGTGCCGGAGAACGGAGCCCATCCGCCAGGGCGACATGGTCTTCGTCTGCGATCCTACCTTGACATCGTGGAGGAAGTCTACAGCGGAGATGATGGAGTCCTCAGACGCGCCAGTGTGCGCGTGAACGACAATGGCCTATCTCGGACAATGTTGCGGCCAATGTTGGATTTGAGTGAAGCGGTTCATCACGGGGTCGGCGATGTTGACGGCCAAACATTGTAATCGATAGGTAGAATAAGTATTACAAGGAAATTCTAGTATTTTGTAAGTTATCCGATCTTGTGTGAATTTCTTGGCCCTTGAAGTACGGGCCTACCAATTCCGATACTGTGAAAGCCGCCAAAATGTGCTTTTCATTGTCTTGTGAATTGTAGGAGGGCACACTGCGGTAAGATTAAGTTCGTTTGAAATGTATTAGGCTAATTTAATATTTCACAGAATAAAACGCGCCCTACAGCCACGGCCATAGGCCCTTAAAGTTAAACCCTTTCTTTGTACCTACGCGTGTGGGGGAGTCTTTAAAGGCAACTAACTTAGTTAGGGCGAAGGCGGGAGCATAATAAAGCTATCTCTCGCTCTTTGCGAATTCGCCCCGTCTTCGCCCCCTTCGTTAAGCTAGGCTCTAAGCATAGAACTGTGTGAAGCATAAAATATAATCGAAAATTGAAGCCAAATCGAACACACGCATTCCTTTTCGTTCTCGTTGTTCGCCTAACAAATAAAAAATTATTCCTTGCCACCAAGTTGTCGGTTTTATTATTTCTAATAAACTAATTAGAAAATCCAAATACAATATACAAAATATGTGGCAAAATAAATTTACAAATATAATACATAATGTTAATAATTTCATTTTTCGATTCTAATCGATTTATTAGTATTTGATTTCGATTTACTGAAAATCGATTTATTTCCAGCTCTATATAATTTCCATAAAAACATCAATGTTAAAAGCATTTTATAGTGCCTTCCAAAGCACCGTCAAAGCGCATCCACCGTCCGTTGAACAAACGGTCCATAATGTTTTGCCGTTCCGAATTTCTTCTTGCCCCAAGGTGTCCCCAATTGCTACTATTTCATATAAACCGCCTACCATTACCTCAGTTTATAGATTTTGGATGCCTATACCACCTATACAGACTCTTTGGGGCATTTGCTCTTTGTTAGAGAAACTCAAATTCCTCGTCATCTAATTTATTTTAATAGGGTCTTCCCACATACCGTCAAAGCGCATCCACCGTCCGTTGAACAAACGGTCCATAAGGTTTAGCCGTTTCGAATTTTCTCAAATGGACCGGCATCAAAGCGCATCTAATAGGGTCTTCCCACACAACATTAATGCGCATTTAGCATCCGTTGAACAAATGCTCCATAAGGTTTTGCCGTTCCAAATTTTCCCAAATGGGCCGGCGTTAGTTCAGCATTAAAATCTAACCACGGGTTGTTTGGCGATAGTTAGGCGATAGTTCTTCGGTGCAACTCTGAAAATTTGACCATCACTACGAAAGTGTATACACACTTGGCGAGAAACAAATGAGATATGGAATTTAAAACGTGGCGACAAAGCTACAAGCATGCCCAAAATAGATGTTGGAGTTTTTACTGTATATTCTTGCCCCAATATGTCCCCAATTGTTACTATTTAATATAAACCGCCTACCTCTACCTTATTTTAAAGATTTTGGTTGCCTATACCACCTATAGACACTCTTCGGGGAATTTGCTCTTTGTTAGAGAAAAATTATTAGAAAAACTAAAATTCCTTGTCATTTAATTCATTTAAATTTATTGCGGATAAATTCTGACGCAATCTGTGCCCTTTGCTGTTGTACAACAGCCAAAATAGTTGGTAAATGCTCCATTTCAAATTTGCAACTGCCAATTCGACAGCCTTTGTTTACGTTTTCATGAGCCACAGCTGATCGATCAGCTGTTCGGATGCTAAGTGCGCTTTAATGTTGTGTGGGAACACGAGTTTCACATTTGTGAAAAATTCCAAACGTTCCTCACAAATGTGCTGTGTGGGAAGACAGTATAATAGGTCCTTCCCAAACACCGTCAAAGCGCATCCACCGTCCGTTGAACAAACGGTCCATAAGGTTTTGACGTTCCGAATTTTCACAAATAGACAGCGAGTAGAACGCATCTAAATCTAACGACGGTTTGTTAGGCGATAGTTTTTCAGTGCAACTCTGATTTCTTCTTCTTAACAGTGAAAATTTGACCAACACTACGAAAATGTAAACAAACTTGGCGAGGAACAAATGAAATATGACATTTAAAATGTGGCGCCAAAGGTACAAGCATGCCCAATATAGTTGGCGTTTTTTATTTTTCTTGCCCCAAAATGTCCCCAATTGCTACTATTTAATATAAGACGCCTAGCTCTACTTTGTTTTATAGATTTGGGAAGACTATACTACCTACACACACTCTTCGGGGAATTTGCTCTTATTTAGAGAAAATTCATTAGAGAATCTTAAATTCCTCGTCATCTAATTCTTTTTAAGTTAGTGCGGATAAAATCTGACGCAATCTGAGCATTTGCTGTTGTACAACAGCCAAAATAGTTTGTAAATGCTCCATTTCAAATTTGCAACTGCCAATTCGACAGCCTTTGTTTACGTTTTTATGAGCCACAGCTGATCGATCAGCTGTTCGGATGCAGATGCACCTTGACGCAGCTCTGTGGGAATATCAGTTTCGCGTCTGCGAAGAATCCCAACCGTTCCTCACAGATGCGCTGAGTGGGAATACATTAATTATTAGACATAATCGATGTTGCATCAAAGCTATAATCACTAAGCAAACAAGAAGTTAAGTAAGAACATGGCATATTCCAAAATAAATTCGTTGATGTTTGTGATATATTTTTACATTACTTAGGTATACATAAACTTTTTTTATTGTGTACCAGTGCACGTTAACAGTGTATATTTATAAGATCAATTTCGGTTGAATATATGTGTCGAGTTAAAAGACCAGTAACGCCAAACAGTTTGTGAAATTTATAGACCACTTATAGGTTGGCTATTGTCATTAAACATACATACATATGTATTTATGTAGTTACTAACGAAATAAGCTAATGCAATATCGTAAATAAGTAGCATCACTGCTGCCACTCAGCAACATCTTAGAATTTGTGAAGCATCGATTTTTCGTCTATTAATCAATCGCATTAAGATAAGCAGCCACCGACCCTTAACAAAATTTTAAAAATATTTTGCGGTCGATATTAGCCATAAAAAATGGGTGCCTACTTGTCCCATCCGAAGACAGATAAAGCGTCTACAGATGAATTCAATGATTTTCTAGCCGTTGGATCCAGCTCAATGCAGGGTTGGAGGAACAGCCAAGAGGTAAAATGCTATACATATTTGTACGTATATATATATATATCCATAAATTATATTTATACATACATATATGTACATACATGCATGAATACATAGGTATTTTTATATATACATACAAACATACTTATGTACATGAACATTTTTATGTACATACATGTACATATATAAATATACATATACATATTTATAAATCTAATCAATCTATTCAATTTAATTATAACTAATCAAAATTTTAAATATTGCAGGATGCACATAACTCCATTTTAAATTTTAACCAGAATACTTCCTTTTTTGCTGTGTATGATGGTCACGGCGGAGCTGAGGTTGCACAGTACTGCGCTGACAAATTTCCGGAGTTCCTTAAAAACCTAGAATCATATAGGAATGGGAATTTTGAAAATGCTCTCAAAGATGCATTTTTAGGATTTGACAAAACTCTGCTGGATCCATCAGTAGTAGCTATACTAAAAGTTTTGGCAGGCGAACATAATTTCGTCGAGGGGGACGCGGCGGATTACGATGACGATGCAGACGAAGACTTAGCTGAATTGCAGGAGGAGAGTAAATTGCCATTAAACGAAGTTCTAGAAAGATACAAAGGGCTTCCTTTAACTCATGGAACAGTTATTAATAAATCTAAGGAAAATGTTTCAAAATTGCAATCGCCCTATTTACGGGGACGTCGCGCAGCTGCAGTAGCTGCCGAAGCTGTTAACAAGGCTGTAATGGACCCCACATCGAAACCAGAAGGTTCTTCCACTTCAGCTGCAGCCGCTGCCATTGCATCTGCAGTTATTGGTCCGTGTTCTAGCTATTTAGAGAAAGCAATACTGTTACCTGAGGATGAGTCCGCTGTGAGTAGTAGCAGCAGCAAAAGCAATTATGATTCAGCTCGTTTTGGTAAATGCGAAGAATCTAATGGGAAAAAATCAGACGGGTGTCGATCTAATCATAATGGGAGTGTTACTTCCTCCATTGCTAATGCAGACTGTGTAACTAATCCAAAAAATATGGAAACTGTTGTATCTGGGTCCAAAGACTTTGAGAAAGGGAACTTGATCGACCAATGCAATGATATTGCTGGAATCTCATCTACCAGTAAGGAAACAAAACAGTTCCTGAAGAAGTTTGATTGTATCCAGGATGATGAGACCTCCACAGATGATGATGTCGATTACAAAGAAAATGACTCTGTCGAGTATCCAAACATAGTAGGTGCGGAAAGCTCAGATGATGATATTGATGATGTTGATAACATTGAAGGAGACGAAGAAGATGACGAAGTAAGTTATGAAAATGTTATCAAATTGATACTAACATATTTGTCTTTAGGACGATGAAATTAGCGACGAAGAGGAAACAGATGAAGATCAAAGGGCAAACGATCATTTTTGTGCGAACATGATTGAAGAACCTGGAAAAGACAGCGGATGCACTGCTGTTGTCTGTCTATTACATGGTCGCGATCTTTACGTTGCTAATGCTGGCGACTCTCGGTGTGTAATATCCCGAAATGGTCGAGTTATTGAAATGAGTCTCGACCACAAACCAGAAGATGATGAAGAGGCCGCCAGAATTATCAAAGCTGGAGGCCGAGTTACACTTGATGGCCGCGTTAATGGCGGCTTAAATTTATCTCGAGCTCTTGGGGACCACGCGTACAAAACAAATGTTGAATTACCAGCTGAGTCACAAATGATTTCTGCTTTACCAGATATAAAGAAATTAATTATTACGCCAGAAGACGAGTTTATGGTAATGGCGTGTGATGGTATATGGAACTATATGTCTAGTGAAGAAGTCGTCGATTTTGTGCGGTTTAGATTAAAGGAAAAAAATAAAAAATTGTCAATCATATGTGAAGAGGTAAAGTATATGATTCAAATCACGTCTATGAATATTTTTAAAAGCATGTTTTTGTAAAAAGTTCGTGTAAATTCATTAATAAGTATAATCAATTTATAAGTATGTTAGTGTATCATAGAGATTTTGACTGGTCTGACGTTTGGTTTTTTTATCAACTCTAAAAACGCCTATTCGCGTGTTCGATGCCCTGTAGCATAGAAAACAATTTAAGATGTATGTATCTTAACATACACTGCGTTTTACTGGAATAGCACACTTTTTTATGCAATTTCAAATCTTGAAATCTTTTAACCAAAAAGAAAACTCGCTGATGTTTAGGTTTCTATTTATAGTGTAATCAAGTTTAAATATAAGAAAAGTAACAAAACTTAAATTAAATTAACAATTAAGAAATGTTAACAAAAAAAACATAAAAACTTAAAAAATTGCACAACAATTTTGTTTCACATGAATAGCACTTTTTTTGTTTTTAAGTATATTTAACGAACTTAAATATTAGGAAATGTGTTTTTATTCAATAGTGATTATTAATACATATATATTTGTTAATTTAGTAATGGGTTGAGCCTCCTTTATTCAATATAACCTCGTAGATCCTGTTGGGCATCGAATCATATAGACTTTTAATGTAGTCTAAGGATATTGTAGCCCAGGCCCTCTGAATGGCCTCAATTAGTTCTTCTTTTGTTGAAAATTGTTTGCTAGACTCGTAAACCTTTCTGGCCAGCCATCCGCAAACATTTTCAATTATATTCAGATAAGGCCAGCTCAGAGTTTCAACATTTTTATCTTTTAAAAAAGATTTTACAATACCTGCAGTATGTATTGGCGCATTGTCGTGCTGGAATGTCCAAGGCAAATTATTGAAAAAATTTTCCAATGGTGGAAAAGCCTTTTCAAGGACGTTTAGATACGCTTTTGCGTTCATGTTTGAGGATAAGAATTGGAGCTCACAAGTCCCATAGTAAGATATGGCCCCCAAACCATAACTCCGCCTACTCGACTATGTAAACGCTCCAATTGATGCGTCTCTTTCCTCAGATCATGAAAATAATAATTGCAGCCATCTGGCCCCTCCAAATTGAACTTTTTTCATCAGAAAACACTACGCGCTTCCACTCGTTACACCATGACATATTGACGCGGCAAAAGGTCAACCGTGCTTCCTTTCGTTTGGGGTTAAGCGGTGGTTTTTTTTTTAAGTTTCAAACGTTTTAGATGTTTAGCTTTCGAATTAACTCGCCAAACAGTAGTTTTGCTCGCGTCAACACCTGCTTTTGCCCTTATTTTGCTCACAGAGTCATAGAAATTTGAGGCTTCCCGCAGAATCGCACGCTTATCTGTGTCGCTAAGAACACAACTTTTGCGACCTTTCATATTTTTTCCATAGTTTTGTTTGTTCTTTATAAAATTATATACGACTTTTCTGCTTCTTCCAATTTTTTTTTCGATATATTAGCTACAGAAAGGTCACAATCAATAAAGCTTTGTATTTGGATCTGTTCTTTGTGACTTAGTGACGTTCCAAGACCCATAATTACACAAAATGATTAAACTAAGTTTAAAATTCATAAATTAATCAAAAATAGTTTTTGATTCTATCTCCTTGGCTGCTGAAATGACACGTAATCTAAAATGTGCTATTCAAGTGAAACAAAAAATATGCAAGTTATTGAAGCAATTTGAAAAGAAAATTACGGTACATTTAAACGGTAAATTTCCAGACTTCCAATTTTTGTTGGAAGAGAGTATATAATATGACGAAAATAAAACAGCAACAATTATTGCATTAGATCAAGCAGTTGCTGAGAGATGAACAAGTAATTATGAAAATTTTTGTGTGATATTCAAGTGAAACGGAGTGTATGTACATTTACTATTTTTTATATTTGCAAGGGTATATTCTTAGATGGGCACGCAGTGGATCTTACCTTTATATTCTGTGCCCAGTTGTTGGTTTTTAGAGCTTTGAGGATGAAATTTTACTAATAATTTTTTTTTATCCATTAAACGACCGATAAGTTAATAGAAATAGTTATACTGTTGCCGTTTTAATCTATATATATATTTCGTATGTTCTGAGATATTAAATATTTTTACTACCTCAGAGTTTTTGTATTAATTTTATGTACAAACATATATACCCGCTTTAAAAACAATAGTCGTATTTTAATCTACTCTGAGATATGAGCTTTACTTATTATTATAGAATTTTGGTATAAATTTTATGAAAATCGGACAACTATATCATATAGCTGCCATAGAAGCGATCCGTAGATGTAGAGAAAATGTAAAACTGGGAATGTAAAACTGTAACTGCCAAACTGTAAACATAATAAGTATAGTAAAAATGTAATGAAACTCTGTTTTGTGTGTGTTTTCATCATTTAAATCTATAATATAAACATCAGAACCAATCTGCAAGGGTATACAAATTTCGGCATGCCGAAGTTAGCTTCTTGTTAATGATGTTTCTCGTCAAAACAATGAAAAACTGAATTGAATTGGCGCTATATTGGAACATATTCTTTTAAATATAAGGGTCCATTTTGGTTAGTTGGGCCAAAAAATAGGTCATTTTCAGGAATTTTTTGTGGACATAGGAAAAGACAGAAAGTTCAAATTTGTCACATATATTTATCATAGTTTAAAGATGTTTTATCAAAAATTTCAAAATTTTTAGAGCATGTCCTGAAGCAGGACACAGGGCGACGTAAGCCTCTGCAAAAAAAGGTACCCCTCTGGCGACCGTCCTGCAGGACGTAAAAATCGACTGAAAAAAAAAAATTCAAAGATGTTCTTGTTTAGTATCAATGTGGTTATGGAATAGACTACAATTATAAAAATTAAATAAAAAATAAAAAAATGGCAGCTACTTAAAATTTTTTTTTCGTTTTTCTGAACATTTTCTTCACTTTTTTGTTAATAAAAAATCCAATGTATAAGCTATCAATATAATTGTAGTCTATTCCATGAAGAGCTTCATTACGCGCATTAAAAAAAAAAAAAAACATTAAGATTCGTTAAAAATTGACTGAGATAGGACGGTCGCCAGCTCGAAAAACGTAGTTTTCCAGAAAACGCGTTTAAAGTTTTATGTTTGCTCTGTAGCTCCTTTAAGTCGGCCGACTCGGAGGCTCGTAACTTTTAAACTATTACGTATTTCGACATGATCTTTTAGTATGGTATTCTAGACACTTACAGCTATCGAAAAATGCAAAAAAAAATTCGATTTTTTTTTCAACTAACCGGAATGGACCCTTAATCAATTTGAACACTTCCTAATGTGACTATATTGAAAACAAAGATTTAAATGAACTTTAAATTTATTGGACTTATATAAAAAAAATTTTCAAAAATTTGAACAAACATGTACATATATGCACTTAAAAAATTAGACATACACAACAATTTATTATATATAGTCGCTGATTTTTAACAAAATGTGTTCTTTTAGCTTTTTGACAACTGCTTAGCGCCAAACACTATGGGTGATGGAACTGGTTGTGACAACATGACTGCCGTGATTGTGCAATTTAAAAAACCCCTGCAAGATCTACGTGCTACAATAAACCCAACTGAAACAGAAGATGTGGTAGCCAGCAGATACGAAAGCTGTGAAAAGGATACAGATGGAGGTATCGATCGATGCCTTCTTAAACGATGCGTTTCGCCAGATACCGTTCCCGATAGCGATGGTCTTGAAAATAATGCTACTAAATCGAAACGGCTAAAGACTGAAGATAATAAAATGGAAAGAGTTAATTCTGCCATTGACAATCTAAACGAAGAGAAACGATAGCTTATTAAGGAGCTAGATTAGTTTCCTCATCTTATATATTTGGCTTGCGAATCCCGAACTCGTCATATATAACTTTTACGTGTAAACTGCATTTTAATCGTACATTTTAAGCTCTTAGAGATCATTACAAAAAATATAAACCCATTATGAATTTTTCCCACAAATATTTTAGGTATATTTAAAGATTTATTAACAACACGCTACTTTAAAAATAAATAAAATATTCATCATACATTATTGATAAACTAAAGTGTATAATCCCATATTTTTAGTTTAATTTAAACAGTACTAACGCCAATTATTGTCATACACATAAAATAATAAATATCAATCAAATGGGAAAATGTCTTTTGGAGAGTATTATAATTTTAGTCAGAAGTTTAGGTTTTTATTCAAAGTTTGGTTGACTGTATGGTCCTAGCTGGTGACCTTAAAGGGAAGTTGGGTTATGGATGTGTCACTTGCCGGTGATGCGCGGATGGCAAAAAGAGCGCAGATCGAAATACACTGCGTGTTTTTTTTTTTTTTTTTAATTCTCTTGTTTGTTTCTCTTTTTACGCTACTACCTTACAAATACAAATAATACAAATACACGTAGGACCAGACGGGAAATATACATATATAGAAGTACGGGTTCACGCCGTGCGGTACCGCCGCATGGCATTGCTTCGCCGGCGCGAATGCCCCTACTCCGGCCGCTCCTTCCGCCTTCGCTCCAGGGTCCTGAGGGTCGTCATCACGTATGCGGCAAATGAGTTTGCCGCTTCCCACACTCTCTGGTCTTCTAGCATCCTCGGTACCAAGGATTCCGCGCTGATCGTAGCCCTAGCTACCTCCTCTAGCTCGTGCCTCTCAAATCCAAACAACTGCCAGTTCTTCATGCTCCTCCTTCTGGCGGCCGCCTTTAGTTCTGCTCTAGACGGCAGTGCCCTCCTGTCCTGCATGGCTACGAAGATCTACTTCCTCTCCCGGATAAGCTCCGCCAGTGGGACTTACCCTGTGATGACCAATTCCAGACCTGCAACCGCCAGCCACGACCCTACGGCTTGGATGGCCGTGTCCGCGCGAATTTTGTACTGCGGGTCGGAGTTAATTAAAATAATAAATAAATACGGACACGACGTTTAGTTTTTAGTGGTGAATCATAACTGAACTCTATTGAAAAAGTCAGGTTTTACATTTGTGTTACAATTGGTTTGTGTTGGTGTACATAAATGGAATTATGATTTAGCTTATTCTATATGCTTATGTAGCTATTGCGAAACTTATGCTGTTTAGACTTATTCTACCTGCAAGTGGTTTCGTTGCGAAACCGGATGCATACAAGAGTTATTAATTCATGTCGCAAAATTGTTTACTAAAGGGCAATGAATTTAGGTTTCGGTTGCGAAACCGGAAGCTTACATGAGTTTATTAACTCGTGTCGCGAAATTGCTTATTTTACATTTATAGAGTCCAATAACTCTTGAACTGTCTGGCTAATTGGTTTTATTTGGGTATTATGTACTGGGAATGAAGTGGATCTGTACCTAACTCGTGCGCCTCCAGAGTTGCTAGCTTCTTTGCTACCACTACGATAGTGACGTCGTCCGTAAATCCAACCTGAAACAGGTAAGAGGATTTTTATGAGTCTGTGGTTGGTACCGTCGTTTAATCCCAAATTTGGCGAATCTAACTTGCCCAATCACGGATTTGTTATCAAAAAAGTTAAAATTTGAATGGACCTCCGAAGCTCAAATAGCAATGAACAAGCTAAAAGAGGTTTTGACTTCAGTCCCTGTTCTAACGAATCCAGATTTTCCAAATTCCAGATTTACTTTGGCTAATGCGTTAACAAAACGTCTCAGGCAGACTTGCAGCAATTTAAATTTTCTTTCCTGTATAGGAAAGGAAAGGACCACGTCGTTCCGGATGCTTTATCCAGACTCTGTACAAAAAAGATATTGCAGAGGTAGAGATGAGCCCAGTAATCGACCTTCAAGCAAACGCGTTCTTAGAAGATTCTTACGTTGCCTTGAAGAACAAATACAGTGAAAACAAATCTAAATTACCCGATATTAAGATCGTAGATAAGTATATAATTGTATTTTCGCACAGAGCACGCTCAGGAAAATGAGGAACAAGATAAACTTTCTTGGAAACTGTGGGTACCCGAAACCCTTAAGCATGCTCATGATAGTTTCACGTCAGGTCACACGGGAATGCAGTAGACTATAGAAAAACGTAGGCGTCATTTGTTTTGGCCAGGATTATCCAAAGATGTAAAAGACTATATCCGTCGTTGTGATATTTGCAAAGCAAACAAAGCATCGAATCAGACGCCTCCCTAGGTGGCCTAACCACCTATGGGAGCACACATACCCTCCTGTCGACCTTTTCAAATGCTTTACATAGGCCTGCTAGGACCATATCCTCGCAGTAAGGATGGTCATGTAGGCTTGTTAATCGTTTTCGACCACTTTAGTAAATACCATTGGTTTCACCCGTTAAAGAAATTTACATCGCTAGTTGTAAAAGACTTTCTGTTGAAACAAATCTTTCATTGTTATGGAGTCCCCGAAACCTTTATTAGCGATAATGGCACGCAATTCAAGGCATCTGATTTCAATGTATTCTTGACTGACTAACCACGTATATACGGCTTTGTATTCTCCACAAAGTAATGCCGCAGAACGTGTTAATCGATCCTTGTTAGCTGCTATCCAATCTTACTTAAAGCATGATCAAAGAGAATGGAATTTACACCTCACAAGCATTTCATGTTCATTTAGGGCGTCACTTCATTCATCTTTAGGGGTTGTTCTCCTTATCGAGCCTTGTTCGGACTAGATATGATTACTCATGGGTCCTATTACAAATTGCTGAAAAAGTTATCGCTATTGGAAGATCCCATTGTACCACTCTCCCGATCAGATAACTTAGCCCTTATACGGAACGAAATTAAATCTAACATCCGTCGCGCTTATGATCGCAAAGTTGGTCAATATAATTTACACTCCAAGCCCGTTTTCTTTAAAGAAGGGCAAGATGTTTAATGTTGAAGTTTTGCACAAAGCAAGTTTGCAGCTAATTTCAACGCCAAACTAGGTCCAAAATTTTTAATTTACAAGGAAGAGAAATAGGAACCTTCCATGCGAAGGACATCCGAAACTAATTCCCGCTAATATTACATTTAAAAGAAGGAATATTATCGGATGGTGTAACGGCTAGGATTTCGAATTTGAAAAATGAATATCTAAAGCTCAAAAAGTTTTTTTATTAGCTGAATTAAAAAAATAGCTATATTAAAATCTGGCATCGCAGAAAAAAATGGCTTATCTTAAGCTTGCTCTCTTAATGCAGCTGCATTGATATGCGCAGCCAACTTTGGTCCAGATAAAGCTTTCTGTGCTTAGCTATATAAACCACCCACGCGGCTTCATTCGATCTTTTCCGACCAACATAATAAAACTCCCCAGACATCGATATTGTGTTTATGTGAAGTGAAATAAAAATCAAGGTTAAATCTGTTTTGCGCACATTTTTTTATAAACTATTATTATTGCGCCCAAGCGCTTTATTAAATTGTGCAAACGGTTGGAAAAGTGCTTTCAGTTTTAGGGAGAAAAATTTTCTTCTTGGCCTCAACCTCTAGTTGGCCAAAGAAAAATCCCTGGCGAACGATCCGGAAAACTGCAAATAAGCCTTGCAGCTTTTTTCTTAAAGGTTTGTGTTATTAAAAGGTTGAACTAAATTGCGTTTTTCTAACGCCAAATTTGTTTTATATTAGTGTTGTTTTTGGAAGCTGAAAAAAATCCTCCCGACTACGGGAAGAGGAGAAACATAGTATGTTTAACATACATTGGATAAATTTATTGGATAAAGCAGGCCAGTTGGATCTCGGCGGGCAAAAATTAAACCCGAAATCCGTACCTGGCCAGCGCCCCGAAATCCGCACCTGTCCCCAGCAGCGCAAAGAACAAGGCAGCGGTAGCGCTTGGTCCAGGCAGAGGCAGAGCAGAGGATTGATAACGCCAGGCGGGGGCAGCGATCGTACCACGAGGTTTCGGCAAAGGGTTTTGTTGTAAAATTTGGTTGTTGTTCTCATAAGCTTTCTTTGCATTTGATTTTCTTTTGTTCTGCAAATTCATAAAAGGTAAAGAGCGTGCTGCGAAGTAAAAATGACATACAATCAAACTAGTTAAAATTCCAAATTAAATTCGATAAAATGTATTCGTAAATTGAATTAAATGTTTGGTAATTAAAAATAACTATGAGAAGTTAAGTTCAATTTTTAAAGCTTTTACCCCCTTAAGCCTGTATGGTCATCATGTAACCCCGCTGTAAGGCCTTTCTACGATGGAGAAGTAATCTTGTGAGTAATGCCTTAAAAAAAAATAAATATATCGCTAGCTTTAAGTTGAAAGTATCTTCTCAAGAATACTGCGTGAATTAATTTACGGATAAGAACAACAACGCCAAATGTCGAAAATGTGATGAATCCAAGGCAACCGAAACCTTGGAGCATCTCATTTGCAAATGTCCGGCCCTAACGAGGGCAAGAATGAGATACCGAGGCTCTCAAGTTCTGGCATCACTGGAAGATGCCTCCAGGAGGAAGCCTGGCGAACTCCTTGTCTTTGCGAAAAACACCTTGATATTCAAGGATCTCGAAATCCGCATAAATAGTCTCTAGGTCCATCCAGGAGTTTCCCCGGATAGCTATGGGCCATATTGGCCTATGTGTGGCCCCTCGAGGGCCGTCCGGACTAACCTAACCTAACCTAAATACATATAATACATAGAAGGGATAGAGTGGAAGAGACCGCACACGCGGGACTAACGCAAAGCTATACTTCACGGGGGCGGCTGGCGGTCCTGGTGCCGCTCATCGGTCGCCTTCAGTGCGACGGGTCTGCTCGCATCACGGATGCTGCCATTACAGCAGCCGCATTCCATTTGGAGGGGGTCTCCATCATGCAACCGACTAAGTTGTCGGGTGTTAGGCGGCGGTACATGGCTGCTTCCAGCGCAGCTCGTTCCGCGGGAATAAGGGGCATACGAAAAGGCATGCTCCGCGTCCTCAGTTAAAGCGCTGCCACAGTAGTCGCAGTATGGGTCGACCTCATGCTTAAACCTGTGCAAGTAAGTCTTGAAGCAACCATGTCCTGTGATGATCTGCGTAGTGTAGAAATCCAACTGATCATGTCGTCTCTGCAACCAGGGAACCAGATCGGGAATGAGCCTGTTGGTTCATCGGCCTGTGCTCGCGTTGTTCCATCTATCCTGCCACTGAGCCATGGTGCTGCTTCTCTGGATTCTGCTACCCGAATTCCCAGTCCTGCGCTCATCCCCAGTAGGTCTA